ATATTACCACCTACCTAAACAATCACTTAGGTAGTATTGGTAATTCATTATCCAATTGCCATCCCTCCACTCTCTCTTCTGTTATTTTATGGTTTAAATCATATATATTATTACCAAATTATAATCTTCTTCACACTTTTCACAGTACTATAAATTACCCTCAACTTAGTAAAATAAACTATCTTAAAGTCCTCCTCTCATGCCTTTAGAATTTACTAGTGTGGATGATTAATTAACACCAGAAGGTTAAAACAGAGTTCAGAGGCAATTGAAATTATTCAACGAAATGTTCCATCCCATAGTATACCAAACATTACCATTATTCTAAATATTAATTCTAAATATTTCATAAATGTTAGTTATCCCAAGTGTTCATTAAGTCCTCATGACATTCATTCTCATAAGAAATCATATATACCCCAAACTCAGCCAAAACCTAAAAAACACCATAAAATTCACTGTGTGTGCTCCTCTAAGACCTATCACCCTTGACCTGCTGAAAACCCTATTTGAAAAACAACAACCACAAATAGCCAGGCCTCACTTAATTTGGTAGCTCACTTTTATGACCTAAATACTGCCTAACTGAGATGAGCTAATCTCTTTCTCCTGGTTATAATCTAAAGATGGTAGTACACACAAAACATGATACAGATATCCCCAGTCTTAACCCATCAATAATTGTTTGTATCAATCTAATTCCTCATAACTAATCCATAAAACCACTCAAAATTCCTAGTGTATACAATGATTATTTAATTGATTACCCTAACTCTGCTACATGTGATCTCATCTCAAATTATCCATTATCAATTATTTGTTCAACCCCCTAGGAAAATATGTCTCCCCTTCTACTGTTCCTGTCCCCCCTGCTTCACCAATCCAGAACCCACCACAGGCTGGCGCTATTCCCCCAGCACAACAGCCAATGTCCCTTGCATCCCCGTAACCAAAATAAATTATCGTTCTAAAATGTACCAATAATTTATATTTTCCCGCTAAACCATTTCAGTTCGCTATTCAATTTCTTTAACTGTTCTCTCTGATTAGGCCCTAATTAATAAAACAAATACTTACTATCGTTGATAAGCATACATTTAATGATGTTCCTAACATTTGAACTCTCTCTCACCCTCCCCTTGCTCCTTCGGGGAAAGCGCATGGGGACCTTGTAACATATTTTCACAGACCTTTCTAGAATACTTCTACTTAAACTATCTAATTCAACCTTTCACATTTCTCAATCCACATAGTAATCTAGGTATATAGCCCCACTGCGAAAGCTTTACTCACTGTCCCTACCTGTTTTCGAACCAGGAACCCTCTACATACATCGCCAGGCACTCCATCTGCGATGCTCTCAAAGTAACTACTTCCAGTTCATAGAGCAAGTGACGTCACCAAATGAAAGTCGCACTAGCTTTTCACCTCAGCAAAAAACTCTCTCTCCCTTCACCCATTCCCTATTGAATAAGTGAGTTTTTCTATTTAACCCCAAAACACGCTACAAATAGTCCATTCAACATTACCAAACTAAATACTCAGTAGCATCCGGTCACCACCCACACTCATACACACAGACTTCGCCTCATGCCACCGAAATGCCAAATAAACCATAATAGTTCAGTGGAGCCCCCTATTGGCTCTCCACTATTGATACATTACTTCCATAACCACATTAGTTATGGTCTGATTACCCATTAAACCTTATTACATGATCAAACAACGCCACAACCTTAAACTCATATGGGGCGGCAGGCAGCTTAGTGACCAATAGCGCCGCGCCAACAACCGAGAGGTCGCCGGTTCAATGAGCAAGCCCATACGTATATATCGTTATAAATTTATAGGTACCTCTCAAACAATCGACCCATGGTGTTCCCAGCCAACTCCCAGTCTATCATGGCTCCAAAAGCCACACTTTCGCTGTCTCCAGCCCCTCCCCTCGCAACTCTACCTTCCGTGTCCTCTGGGAGTAGGCTCTTTTGAGGAGCTGTGTTTCTTGTTTTAGTGTTTTCAATATTCTGCCGTTAATTAAGGTACTTTAGTCTATTTATTTAAATCAAATCATTCCCACCTAATTAGTTAAAGTTGGTGCACGTTTATATTTAAACGATAAACCGAATTATTTCAGTCTAATTGTTTAACCAGTATTTTGCAGGGTCAAACATCAAACGTTACATCAAATAATCAACAAAAAAAAGCCTCAACCCAAGCACCTAAAACCAGAATTATGCTATGTCTAACACCAAACGGCACAGTTCAAACATATCAGCTCAAACGTTTCAGTTCAGTCACACAATTCATCACTTTAGCTTTATGTTCCTAATTGTTATTAACGGGTTATACGGTTTAAGCAACCACAAACCCAACAGTTATCCCCAAATTATACAGTTTGAACAGCCACAGACGTCTTTTGTTTCCCAATTAGTTTTCTATCAAGGTATACAGGTTTATCATTCACACTCTCATGCATACGACAACACTCGCACTGTCTAACTTTTTATAGTACCTCCTATGGTGTCTTTTGTTAACGTTTTCACAATTTAAACTTTATTTCCTAATTGTAATTCTCATTATTTACTGTTTTAAAATATTCTATGTATTCACAGCCAAAAATGGTACACAGTTAAACGTAGTATACAGTTATCACACAGCAAAAATAGTACACAGTTATCGCACTCACTCACAATATACAGTCATAATCCTATCACACAGTCAAATATGTCACACAGTCATAAATGACACACTTACACTCCACACACAATCTATTTGGGCACACAGCCTCTTCTATTTGGGCACACAGCCTCCTCTACTATCTTCAAAATACTCCGCTGAACCTAGCCGTACCCTCGAAGTTACGGACCTTGCCAGTCGCTAGTATTTATCAAAAATTTCTCGAACCTAGCCATATCCTCGTAGTTACGGACCTTGCCGGTGTAATTCTTCGAACCTAGCCGTATCCACGTAGTTACGAACCTTGCCGATAGCAATTACTTAAGTCAATTATTCCCTGTATCTCCGAACCTAGCCGTATTCTCGCAGTTACGGACCATGCCGATAGATGTCAGTATTGTCTCCTGAACCTAGCCGTACCCCACAGTTACGGACCTTGCCGGTAGCACAAATACTCTCTGGTACCATGGTTTAACATCACATTCACCAAAGGTTTGCATGTCACAATATTGTGCTTATCTACTCATAATAGTTTCATAATTTAGTTCACTTACATCAAACAGGTGTTTCACAAAATTAATTTGGATAAAGCCAATGTGCAGAACTTTAGTTATATAACAATAGGTGTCTGCTTACCTGTTTTTAGTAGTCCGGACTCTTTGTGAAACACACCGTCCAATGACAGAGATGACCAAATGGGCCGGACAATACCCAGCGAAGTCCCTTTACCAGATCACGTCGGAAGTCACCAATTGTCAAGTTGCGTCAATTCAAATCTGGTATTAGGAACAAAAGAGGTCAATACACGTCTTCTAAAATAGACTAGTATTTTAATTAATGCAAAACCTTCAATGGTAAATATGATGTTCGTATATACGGGCTCCCTGAAATACCACGCAGGGCAGACAGAGAACTAATCCATTGTTACAGGTTCTCCTTAAAATACTCTGACAGTTTTTAGTTCCCGCTCTCTGCTGGGCCTATCAGGGTAGAGACTGAGCGTGGTTTAGACTTACTCAGCCAATCCGTTGGCGCACCGGCTGGTCCCAGCCTCTTGGCGCTCCACCGTTGCACACTGTTGCCAGGCATCAGTTCTTATCATAACAACCTGTCATGGTGAGAAGAGCCAGCTCCCCTAGACACCATTCCTACGTCCAAGGACGGTTCACAGATCACAAAGAAGCAGTATAGTCTAGTATTTGGAGACACAAATTATTATCTCATCTTACCCCCTAAAACAGCTCCTCACATTAATCACAGCTTGCCAGGTGAAACAACCCACATCAGCACAGTCCAGACCCTCCATGCCTTAATCATTAATGTATTCATTTACATTTACATTTACATTTACGTCATTTAGCAGACGCTCTTATCCAGAGCGACTTACAAATTGGTGCATTCACCCTATAGCCAGTGGGATAACCACTTTACAATTTATTTATTTTTTTATTTATTTATTTATTTTTATATATTTTTTTTTGGGGGGGGGGGGGGGGGGGGGGGTAGAATGATTACTTTATCCTATCCCAGGTATTCCTTAAAGAGGTGGGGTTTCAAATGTCTCCGGAAGGTGGTGAGTGACTCCGCTGTCCTGGCGTCGTGAGGGAGCTTGTTCCACCATTGGGGTGCCAGAGCAGCGAACAGTTTTGACTGGGCTGAGCGGGAACTATGCTTCCGCAGAGGAAGGGGAGCCAGCAGGCCAGAGGTGGATGAATGCAATGCCCTCGTTTGGGTGTAGGGACTGATCAGAGCCTGAAGGTACGGAGGTGCCGTTCCCCTCATTCCTTCCAAGCTTGTCATCCCATCCATCTATGAGAATAATAAATCCCCACACAACCCATGATAGTTGTTGCATCTTTAGAACCCTTTTCTTTCTAAATTTCGAACATATTTCCATCTCTGTCCATGAAACCACTTGCATGTGCGGTGCGATTTTAGAACGGTGTTTTCCCGCAAATTGCATTTTGGAACATTTGTGCGTAGGCCTACTGCCATGTGCACATTGCTATGCTTAAAATGTGAAGAAAGAATAGTTTATCAACATCTTAAGCTAAACATTCTGATCTGTTCCATCAGCCTTATTATTTGATACCGCGTATACCTCCACTACACTACTTTGCATCAGTTGGGATTAAGTGAGTATACCCAATGCCCCCCAAAAAGTGGGTATACAGCGTATACTCTCCAATAAACCAATTTAACTATTCTCTGACTCCTTGCATGGACATTCTCATCAGTTAATTTTTATTTATTTAGCAATAGTCATTCATACCAAGTAGACCACATAGTCACACACAACACAAGTTCACACAAACACTTTGAAAGGTACATTGTTTGTTTGAGTTTTATTTATTTAATTAAGTTCACAGAAATTGTAAATCTGCATTCAAAATGGAGATGGAAAATGGACAACATTCTAAGAAGTGGTGTATCAAAAGAGGGCAAAGATGTATTTAATTACATATCAAGGTGTGGTCTCCTTACAATTCATTTGGTTAAACATGCAGCGAGCGAAATTGTTCTTTTTATTAATATTTAGGTTTCTACACTCAAATTAGATCAGTCTATTTCTGTCAAATCAACAAAATGCACTTCCACAAATATTTCATTTCAAGTCCAGTGTACACAATAAGTGCAACCTTAGCGATAGTTTAGCATACCTGTGACTTTTTAGTTCATTTCTGTTTTTGCCATTGGACACTGAGGTTAAGATTCATGAATACATTTGCTCAGTTTTATCATGAGAAAAGCATTATACCTGTATTTCTGAAAGTGACCCACCCATCAGGCAAAACAACATTATTCTGGGGGGTTGTATTTGGAAGAACATGAAAGCTATGGGGACTAAACTACACATATGTCTAGATTACAACTCTGTGCTACCAGTCTGACTTCAGTTGCTGTTGACATGATTAGCCCCGATCCCAGGGTACTGTGTGTTGTTCTGGTCACCGGTGTATTCTCCACTGAGCTGGTGCCTGTCCTTCATCAGGTCTGCAAACTGCTCCTCCTGAGAACACACAGCAACAAACGGCTCCATTTTGTTTCGTTTTTCAAGTCAAGGAAAATTCATATGTAACCTTAACGCTAGTCATGACTTAATTACTTATCTTAATGATTGTGGTAGATATCGCCAGTCTTACCAGTACGTTCATTCGCTCAGCTGCTGCCACGGCAACGTTCAGCTTCCTCTCGTCCTCCTCCCTCTCCTCCTCGATAACCCCCAGCCTATGACACCGATTAACAATTACATTTCAGTTCATATTCAAACCAAATAAACTCTCATTCATCTGAAAGGTTGTGAATTTTATTTGATGTCCCTCTTACTCCACTGTCTCACCTGAAAGTGGCGCTGGCGAGCTGTTCCTCACGGACAGCCAGAAGATTCCGCAGTTTATTAACCTCAGCCAGCAGGACTGCATTCTGATTCTGGCTTTGGACAATGAAGTCCTCCAGCCGCTTGGCCATCTCCAACTCACGCTCTGTCACCTGATCCACCCCCAGGCGGAGCTCCGACAGCTCCTGTGCATGCTGGGTAAATCAGAAATTAGAAATCACAAATCAACATCATGGGGATCAAGAAACTTAATCATTGCAGTATTTATTTGATGAGCTGAAGTAATCAATGTGAAAGAGGAAGGAGCAGCATTACTGGATGATAAATAATATGAAGATGAACCCACCCTGTCCAGTAGGTTGATCTCTTCATTCTCTATCTTCCTCTCGTACGGCTCCTTGCTGTGGGACACTTTGATCCAAGGCACTGGAGCAGGAGGAGACTTTACACCAACACTCTGACACAAGAAGAGGGGATGCTTTCATGAGATTCAATCACTCCTCCCACCCATCGACTCTCGACAGAACAACCACATGACAATGCTTGGTTATGACTATGAACCATATACTTCATAAGGATAATATCAACATAAAATAGAATGTTGACAATTGAAACCACATGACCAAGATTTCCAAACTCACGTTCTGTGGTGATGAAATATCAAGTGGAGGGTTGGCTTCCTGCTCTGCATCTTGGTCCTCCAGCGGCAGATTCTCAGTGCTACCCTGTCTCCTCAGTAGCTGTTTAGGGACCGCCGGCCGTCTGTGCGGTGCACTCTGGGTCCTGGATACTGGCTTCCTCGCTCTGGCACTCCTCCTGTCTCGATCAATCCCCTGAAAGCTTTCTTTCCGCTGGCCGCCCTTCACATCCATATGCAGCTGGGAGTTGTGCAGAGGGCTGTACTTGCCCAGGTCTTTAGGGGGCACGTAGGTCGGCTTGGATTGACCAATGTTGCTGTTGTGAGAAAAAAAAAATCAGGACAATAAAGCGAGATGTAAAGAAGATTGTGAAGCTGTGTATGCACACAAGTAGGTCTACAAAAATGTTTATGTGCAATACACATGGGATGCACATACAGAAGAGCACTCGCCAAGCTCACCTGCTAACAGTAATCCGTGGAGCATCTGGGCCCAGAGATTCAGTAATCTGGTTCAGGATTGAAGGCAGAGGGTGCAGTTTGTCTATGGTGTCCTGAGGAAGAGATATGAACAGCATGTTAGCTACCACATAACCTTACCGTGGGAGGTTTCAGTTTCGTTTAAAGTTTTATTTGTCACATGCACAAATACAGTGAAATGCTTAATTTGCAAGCCCTACCCAACAGCGCAGTATTCAATATCAAATCAAATCACATTTTATTTGTCACATGCGCCGAATACAACAGGTGTAGACTCTACCGTGAAAAGCTTACTTACAAGCCCTTAATCAACAATGCAGAGTTTTTTCAAAAGTAAGTAAGGAAATATTTGCTAAAAAAATAATTACAACTAAAGGTAACACAATAAAATAACACTAACGAGGCTATAGCCAGGAGGTACCGGTGTCGAGTCAATGTGCGGGGGTACAGGTTAATTGAGGTAATGTACATGTAGGTAGGGGTAAAGTGACTATGCATAGATGATAAACAGCGAGTAGCAGCAGCGTAAAAAAGGGGTTCAATGCAAATAGAGTAGCCATTTGATTAACTGTATAGCAGTCTTATGGCTTGGGGGTAGAAGCTGTTAGGGAGCCTTTTGGACCTTGCGGTAGCAGAGAGAACAGTCTATGACTTGGGTGGATGGAGTCTTTTACAATTTTTAGGGCCTTCCTCTGACACCACCTGGTATAGAGGTCCTGAATGGCAGGAACCTTGGCCCCAGTGATGCACTGGGCTGTACGCTCTACGCCGAGCAGTTGCCATACCAAGCGGTGATGCAACCAGTCAGGATGTTCTCGATGGTGAAGCTGTAGAACTTTTTGAGGATCTGAGGACCCATGCCAAATTTTTTCAGTCTCCTGAGGAGGAATAGGCGTTGCCCTCTTCACGACTGTCTTGGTGTGTTTGGACCATGATAGATTGTTAGTGATGTAGACACCAAGGAACCACTCCACTACAGCCCTGTCGATGTGAATGGGGGCATTCTTGGCGCTCCTTTTCCTGTAGTCCACGATCAGCTCCTTTGTCTTGATCACATTGAGGGAGAGGTTGCTGTCCTGGCACCACACTGCCAGGTCTCTAACATCCTCCCTATAGGCTGTCTCATCGTTTTCGGTGATCAGGCCTACCACCGTTGTGTCGTCGGCAAACTTAATGATGGTGTTGGAGTCATGTGTGCCATGCAGTTGTGGGTGAACAGGGAGTACAGGAGGGGACTAAGCACCCACTCCTGAGGGGCCCCCGTGTTGAGGATCAGCGTGGCAAATGTGTTGTTGCCTACCCTTACCACCTGGGGACGGCCTGTCAGGAAGTCAAGGATACAGTTCCAGAGGGAGGTATTTAGTCCCAGGGTCCTTAGCTTAATCATGAGCTTTGAGGGACACTATGATGTTGAACGCTGAGCTGTAGTCAACAAACACCATTCTTACGTAGGTGTTCCTTTTGTCCAGGTGGGAAAGGGCAGTGTGGAGTACAATAGAGATTGCGTCATCTGTGGATCTGTTGGGGCGGTATTGCGAATTATAGTGGGTTTGGGTTTCTGGGATGATGGTGTTGATGTGAGCCATGACCAGCCTTTCAAAGCACTTCATGGATACAGACGTGAGTGCTACGGGGCGGTAGTCATTTAGGCAGGTTACCTTGGCGTTCTTGAGCACAGGGACTATGGTGGTCTGCTTGAAACATGTAGATATTACAGACTCAGTCAGGGAGAGGTTGAAAATGTCAGTGAAAACACTTGCCAGTTGGTCAGCGCATGCTCTGAAAACACATCCTGGTAATCTGTCTGGCCCTGCAGCCTTGTGAATGTTGACCTGTTTAAAGGTCTTATTGACATCGGCTACGGAGAGAGTGATCACACAGTCGTATGGAACATGGTCAGTGTTGCTAGCCTTGAAGCGAGCATATAAGGAATTTAACGTCTGGTAGGCTTGCGTCACTTGGCAGCTCGTGGGGGTATTCCCTTTGTAATCCGTAATAGTTTGCAAGCCCTGCCACATCCGATAAGCATCAGCCAGTGATGATGTGGTATACTCCTCAATGCCATCGGATGAATCCCGGAACATGTTCCAATCTGTGCTAGCAAAACTGTCCTGTAGCTTAGCGTCCGCGTCATCTGACCACTTCTGTATTGAGAGAGTCACTGGTTACTTCCTGCTTGAGTTTTTGCTTGTAAGCAGGAATCAGGAGGATAGAATTATGGTCAGATTTGCCAATGGAGGGCGAGGGAGAGCTTTGTACGCGTCTCTGTGTGTGGAGTAAAGGTGGTCTAGAGTATTTTATTATTTTTTCTCTGGTGGCACATGTGACATGCTGGTAGAAATTATAGTATAACTAATACAAATAATAAAAACACGAGAAATTCGAAATAAGAGAGGAAGCTATAGAGAACAGTCTATGTCTCTGGATGCCAGTACCAAATTTACAATGTGCAGGGATACTGGAGTATTTGAGGTAGATATGTACATGAGGCAGGGATTGAGAAAGTGACTGTTGGCAGGATAAATAATAATAGTAGACAGTATGGCAGCAGCATAAGTGGTGTGTGTGGTGTGTGGTGGTGTGCTGTGTGTGTGTGTGTATGTGTGCGTGGTGGTGTGTGTGTGTGTGTGTGCAAGAGTATCAGTGTAGGCGTGCTAGATATAGATATACATGTAAACAGGGCTGAAAAGTGACTGGTAGCAGGAATATAGGAATACAGGAATGTCATAGCATAATCCTTGCCGCACTACACTGCCTTTGATGCAGTTGACTTATGCCTACCTGCTTCATTGGGGAAATGATGTCGACCAGCAGGCTGTGTAGGACAGCCAGACGCAGAGGCAAGTCCACATAGCCATCGAAGGATGTCATTGGGATCTCTATGTCTGGGCTGGACACTGTCTGAAGGAAGCCCCTCATCCTCTCCCAGTGCTGCTGCAGGAAGTCATTCATGAACAGCATGTACTCCTCCTTCTCCCCAAACCTGTTAGTGGAAGAGAATGGGGTATGGATTAGTGTTGGAGGAGGGAACGTCTGGTTTGGGAATATTGGAGAGAAGATGTTTATTCTTGACTTGGACCATATAGTTTGAAGAATTGAATGAGTGTCAAGTCTATCATTTCCATCATTCTGTCAGATGTTTTGGAGGTATATTACATCATGCATGATGCTGCTGCATCATATTGTATCTAGTAGCTCATCTCTAAGGTTGGTATCCATGGATACATGGATGAAGTATGATGGGGTGCAGACAGAGGTGAAGCCAACACACTCACAGGGTGAAGTTGGCCAGGTTCTGGATGACCTTGGCGGTGAAAGTGAGGGTGCGCAGGATGGCCGGCTCTGGATAGGGCTGTGTCAGACCAAACAGGGAGGGGCTGAGGATGGCGGGACACAGAAAACGGAGGAATAGCGAGGCAGAGATGAGGCGCTGGCCGATTTCAGGTCGTCCCTGCTCCTTGCACAGCGTCACCCAGCTGGAGAAGACCCTGTTCAGCTCTTCAGGGAAAGATCTGTGAGGTAAATGGTGGAAAGAGCAGTCAATTACAGCCTTGGATTTCCTGTGAGTGAATATGAATCAGCGTTCATTTGATAGCATTCTTCTGGCTAAGACTGCTCTCCCCATTTTCTATTTAAGTGATAATGCCCGAGAGGCTGGTGTTTGGAGGATATATTGGCAGGGTGTTGTTAGACCCGAGACGAAGTCGAGGTCCAGGAAACCGTGCCAATATATCCTCCAAACACCGGCTTGGAGGGCATTATCACTTTTATACAACGGGTTACCAACATATTTAAATAATGATTTACATATTTTCATTAAAAACGTTATTTTTATTAATTTATTCATACTATTTCATCCTTCCACAAGATATAGTCCCGACACAAATCTAGTGTTGCTACCCAAGCCGGCTGGTCCTTCGTTCTATTGGTTCGCGACCCAGTCGACCAGTCTTTTTGTTCTGTATCTATGGACGCGACCCAGTCGTTCAGTCTTTTTGTTCTGTATCTATAGACGCGACCCAGTCGTTCATTCTAAATGTTCCATTGCCATACTGGCTGGCAACGTTCTTATCCCTTGCTTGCTAGCTAGCCAACTACGGCTAATTTACAGTCACGTCAAAAAGTGCAGCCAGAATAACAGCAAAGTAGCTTCATTTGCGTTTGTTTAAGCTGTTTTCTAGTGACATTTATTTCTAGACATCCATAACAATGAGCTAATGAGGCGCGATTTCGCCTGGCATAGAAAATGTGCTCACTCGTCAGGACACTTGTTCAGAGGAGCTAGCCAACACCACAGCTAACACAATCACTTCATTTTATTGTATAAAATGTCAGCACACAATGTTTAGGGGCTCTTCTGATAAACTCCCTACGAGTTTGACGAACGGGTCCGTGCACGCGATTCCAGATATCTTTACCTCTGAATAAACTGCCTTATATTATACAATTATCCACCTTGTCCAAAAGTCTCTACTTGGTCTCCGTTCTCCAGTAAACTTGTTTTATCAACAATAGTAAGGTTCAATGACACAGAAAGCAGTTCAATGTCGGGGTACAGAGTCGCTCTCTTACCAGGATCGCGGTCCGCTCTGACCAGGGTGAAGCCGGCCGGCTCCACCTCTCTGTCCGGGACTCTGTCATCCAGCCAAGTCTCCCAGCTGTATTGGGATTCCGCTGCCAGCAGCGTTTTCATTATTTAGTCCGTTCGTAGCGGGTATGTACACGATCAACAAGATCAGTCCAAAACCGAAGATCAGTCCAAAGCAGAATGTTTGCAGAATGTTTGTAAACTAAGTCTACAAATTAAAAATAACTTGTGGAATAGACACCGGCTGGAATGCGGTTTTAACCAATCAGCATTCAGGATTAGACCCACCCGTTGTATAACTTTGCATATTGTTTCCCATCAGGTCTCTGTCACTCACCCGTGCATCTCAGTGATTTTTTGCACTGCCTCCTCACAGCTCTCCCTCAGGTGCCGCTGGTTGTTTGACAGCTCAGAGGCGGGGCATTTGCGAGGGTCCACTTCACAGCTCTCTACTGAGGCATACAGTCGAGTGATGAAGTCCCCTGTAAGAAGAGAGATGGCACAGTTTTCCATGACAACAGTTTCTAAGAAGAAGGTCCAAGAAAGAGTTAAAACAGATCCACTGTTACCCAGGATGGGAAAAATTGTATTTCCAAAAGCCTAAAAGCTGATCTCATCCACAGATATTCCTTACCCAGGGTGTCGATGAGGTACTTCTGCCCCACCAGCTTCATGTACTCATCAATGGCCTTGGTGGCCAGAGTGTTCTCCCTGAAGATCAGTGCCTCTTTCTCCCCAAGGCGTTCCACCTCTGCACTACCCAACTCGATAAGGAACTCCTGGAACATAAACACACAGAATAAGCGCTTCTAGCAAGTTATGACTAGCTGACTATTGTAAAGGTCTACTTTAAATGCTTATCATGAAGCAGCGGTCACCCCTTTGCTTTACTTACCTTGGCCTTGCCAATGCTTTGCAAGACGTGGACCAGTGCCCCCGCTAGTTCCTCCTTCTCCCTGACAGACAGCAGTTGCTGCAGGTTCCTGCACATGCCACATAGTCCACTGTCACAAACTCTGCAAACTCCTTATACCTCTCGATGGGCAGCACCTGCAGGTTCTGAAAGCGGGCCTTGACACGGAGCGACGCTTGGGGCCCCAGTTGCTCCTTCGTCCCACCGGCACTAGATGCCTTGTAGGGAATGATCGGGTGCCACTTCTCCTGGAAGGCCCTTCCCCGGATGTCGGCCAGGGATATGGCCACACTGCCAAGGGGATGCAGGGTGGACTCATCCCGGGAGTGACGCTTCTTCTTGGGCTCCTCGTCGCGGAAGAGGTGCAGGGTGATCTGGGAGACCGACGGCAAGTTGTCCAGCTCAAAAAACTCTCCCCAGAACAGCTGGCAGCCTCCGACCACCCCGCCGCTGCCCCCAAGCACCCCACCCGAGGCACCAGAGGACCCATCACCAGCCAAGCTGGAGTGATGGGAAGACTTGCCCACGGCTCGGCTGGTGGTGCGGGCGAACAAGGTGCCGTCCAGGTGCAGCTCGCAGTAGTATCGCCTCTTGGGGAGCAGGTCCTTGGCCTCGTTCACCCACAGACTGAGGGAGTTCTCTGTCCGCTCACAGTTGTCCTAACGGAGACAGAACATGTTAGAACATCAATCAGTGAGTATACAATATGGAGTCCTAGAACATCATGGCAATGTGGCATACATTAAAGGAGAAGTTTTCTTTTGTACCAAAAAATATATTTTTGATGTAATATTCCATTTTGTTGCGACTCCAGTGGTACCGCTCCATTCTATAAGTAACTGCCAAAATAAAGGAAACACTTATGAGGGATAGATAGTACTGTATATTGAAAGCATGGGGTGCTTCCACTCAGGAAGTTCCAGACACTTGTAGAATCTATGCCAAGGCGCACTGAAGCTGTTCTGGCGGCTCCTGGTGGCCTAACGCCTTATTAAGACACTTTATGTTGGCAGTTACCTATAGCAGCAGGACTACATGGAAGAATGGAACAGCTGGATAGGGGAAACCGCTTGAATCGCACAAAAGGGAATATAATGTTGCGGATAAAGTGTGGAGTGACACAATTTCATGCGTACAACATCCAAAGACCTGCATCACTATATTGAGAGCTTTACTGTTTCTAAAAGGACTTATTTGGGTGTTTTTGGAGCCTTTGTTCAGGTTTTTTCGGGGGCTCAATACTATACAACAAGGATGAGGAAGTGATTCGCTGTTTGGGATAAGTTTCTCAAAAACAAGTGAAATAACAAAGGTGTCTGGACCCTACTATAACATTCCATTTACATAAAAAACTACTTCTCCTTTAACTGGTATGGAAGATTAATGTTTTTAAATAGTTTCTTTACCTTATTGGGCTGAGCAGCCCGTCTCAGGTCCTCTATCCAGCGGTCTCGCTCAGCAGCTGAGGTGCACCCAAAACAGTGGTTGTTCTCTGAGTTTATCACCTAGGACGTCAACAGTCAATACCAACAGTCAATACATGACAGGACAGAGTGAGGCAGAGATGCTATTGGGCAGTATTTAACATGAACTTAGTCAAATCACTTTAAGACATGGGATGAGTGTAGAAGTTACAGGTCAAAGGTCAGGTCTACCTCAAAGCAGTACTTCTCCCCCAGGATGGAGCTGTGTACGGGCCTGATAACCGTACTGGTGTCTGCGCTCAGATCCAGGTTTCCTGCAGCGCTGACTGGGATGGACACGGACTCCCGTGATCCATGGAGCCTGCTGGACAGACAGGAAGGAGGAGAGGAGTCAATGACGAACAGCCTGCCTTACACACCAAGAGCACTATGAGACTGACCGCATACCTGCTCCCTTTGTTCAACCCAATGGTGTTTAACTGGGTATTGCTCTTTCGCATGGCTCCACCATAGAAACGCCGCTTGATCAGCCCCTAGAGACAGAGGGCGGGAAGAAGACCATTAAAGAGGGGGGAGGGAGAGAGAAGAGTAAGAAGATGGGTAGATGAAGTTCAATTCATCCCCAGGGGAATACTGATTAGCAGGCCCTGAATCATACAGAATCCTCAGGAAATCCAGAGCTGTTATGAATCATGTAATAACAGTGTCTTATCTGTGGAGTACGCAGTACTCACCCTCACTCCTCCATCTTGGCCCTTCAGTCTGGGGCCTCCAGTAGGGGCCATGTGGTCGGGGCTGCATTCTGCAGGTCCAGGAGATACACACAGTTAGCATGTAAACACACTTTTGACATGATCCCTCCCCTCCCTCGAAAAAATGGCAACCTTTATCAGAGCGCTTCGGGCGTAAAGTGGGCATTGTGGGTTGTCTCTGTTATTGTTGCTCCATATGGAGATATACTGTATATCTTGTTACATATCACTCACATCTTACATATGTACGTCTGTACATTTTCCTCTTTATTTGGAAACCATTGGGGAGGGACAACCTGTGGTTGATCTAATCTCCCCAAACTAAATTGCACAGTCCTCTGAAACCACCAGGGGAAGTGTAGTCATTTCCTCCTTTCTGCATTTCCTCTGAAGATCGAACAAATAACTGCTCAAATAGATGAGGCTGCAAGGCTGAAGATTATTCAGACTGGGTTTGACTAACTAATCTAGAACAGTGCATGTACTGTATAACTGAACATTAATACACCGGCTTTGAAATGTTATTGATAACCACTTTAGCTGAAGTCTCTCCATCCCCGAGTGGCGCAGTGGTCTAAGGCACTGCATTGCAGTGCTAGCTGTGCCACTAGAGATCCTGGTTCGAATCCAGGCTCTGTCGTAGCCGGCCGCGACCAGGAGACCCATGGGGCGGCGCACAATTGGCCCAGTGTCATCCAGGGTAGGGGAGGGAATGGCCGGCAGGGATGTAGCTCAGTTGGTAGAGCATGGTGTTTGCAACGCCAGGGTTGTGGGTTTGATTCCCACGGGGGGCCAGTATGAAAAAATATAATAATGTATGCACTCACTAACTGTAAGTCGCTCTGGATAAGAGCGTCTGTAAAATGTAAATGTAAGAAAAGTCTAAAGTAAGAAGGTTGAGGGATGAATAGGCTCAGTGTCAAAATGAGTCAGCCATTGAAAAGTATTCTGACAGTCACACCGGATATTGCTTTTATCTAGTGGCCGAGACAGGGCAGGAACCTTCCAAGTGCAGCCTTCATTTTAGACATTGAATAACTTGGTTTAGAGATTACAAAGATCCTTAGTACCACAGCAGAGCAGAAAATCAGCCGTGGTGTCACTCCACGTGAATAAAACAACCATTGAGACACTTCTTTGGCTAAAATAATACATTTACCTATGGCAGTAACTAAAGCGATCATACAGTACATCACTTTTCTTTAGAGCATTCGTTAAAAATTCACCTTTTGATATTCTCCTTTCATAGACATAATCAAGTAAAAGATTTGTCTGAATCAATAGCAATTGTGACTGTACAAATAAACGTACACAATTCTTAGAATCTAATCCTTTGCTTACCCAAAGCGCCTCCACATGCAATCCAGCGTCTAAATCCCATCATTGAGAGAGAGAGAGAGATCTGTCGAACCCGCTTCTCCTAATCACACGTAAGAGTGAACACTGTTTCACCTCTCATGGTTCTCCTCTCTTCACCAAATAGGCCTTGCCAGTGTAGCCATCACACAGAACTAATCAATATCCAAAATTCTATATCCGGACTAAACCCACAAGCTAATACTAATAAAATGAACATGAATGAGAGCAGCTACAGACACTGCTTCTTCTCAACCAGCCCTGACTGGTCTTCTGGAACACCCAGATGTGATGCTATCTACCCCCCAAATTTTGAGGAAACAATTTGAAAGTCACTCGCATGCATAATCACGTCAGCTATTTCCTCTGTGTCTGCCCTACCGTTACTCTGATAGACTCTCTAGTGGTTGTGATGCTGCCGAATGGATGTTCTCCTTGCAAAGACATCCCTGACTCACTCTTGCACAGTATTTCTGAGGATCAACCATTTTGATGAGAAAGTGGACTTCACTGTTGATTCACTGTTTTATCTTCTTTGTGTCTCTGATGAGGACGTTAGGAAAGCTATTAGAGAAAGCAAGGTATTGGATCATAGTTCCAGGAACCCCATTCATATGAAACACTGCTCTAGTCTAAAGCCATGTGGCGGTATTGGAGTACTGACCCATGTTGACATCTGCCAGGTTCTGGATGCTGAGGTTTGACAGGCAGCTGCTGACTCGGTTCCTGGTCCACATCACTGGCTGAGTTAGGGAGTAGAAGAAATACACACTAACTTAATAACCTAGAGAGAAACCATGACTATCAACTTCATACAGTCAAGTGTGAGTTTCCATTGAGAGTGCAGTGCTCCCAGTAATAGTACTAACTGTTAAACACAATGCTTCAAGGTTGTGTTGACTCCATGTTGTTTAATGGAAGTGCAATGCTAAGTGTTGTTGTGTAATTTTCAGTGTAGGTGATGTGAATGGTCTGTGTCTGTGTCATGTACCTCTTCCTCCGGGGTGATGAGGATCTGTCCATCCTCCAGGACACAGTTGTTGATGTCCCAAATGGGGACGTCCTGGGGAGGGGCCCATGACAGCCTGGTTAGCTCTAGGGACGCAGCTGCAGGCCCGCTCCCACCCGCATCTATACACACACACACACACACCATGACAACAGCACAGTAGATCAGTACACAATGGGATGGACCAAATCACTGCAATAGTCGCTTGAAATCCTGGCCTTTTTATTTGAACTATCTGTGTGACACAACTAACTAGAGTTGCGTGCCATAGTCTACAATAGATGCCACTAATTTTGACTAATTTTGATGACCCTAGTCGTGCCTCTGTGATTGGACACAGTTATTTAAACAATACTCTATATCTGTGTCTGACATTGGCACAAACGGAGCTCTCTGAGTTTTCCTAATTACAGTATAGTCCAAGGAAACCAGCAATGGTTGTTCTGGGGGATAATTGAGCGCACACGCTGGCCCTTGGATGTTTTTCATTCGGAGTAATTATGGCATTATGTCGTTATCTGACACAGCGCACATGGCCACTCCCATTTCTAGTTTGTAGTTGTTGTTTTGAAGCTATCTTCCACTCCCTCCCGGTCCTCCCCCTACCCATCTTTGATGAACCATAGCTCTCACACATCCTGTGTCAGTTTGTTTTCTAGTCTAAGTATGGCTGTATTACCGTCAACTTCTCCTAAATCATATCACATACTGTAAATTTTTTCATCCATATCTGTATCTTCAGGTGTATTCTAGTCAAATAGACCCACTGAAAAGTCCACTCAAAATGGTCTCTGACGTGCATGGGTGATAATAATGGTTTTGGTTTTATGCCAACTTGCTTCTTTAAAGGGTAGAATGCTTACCAACCATGTCAAACGCCATCGTGGGTTCTTAGACACACTAAATGCCATGTATACAACACCAGATATCAGCATTTCACTGAAGGAAAATGACTGAAAATCAAAACTAGACTGAAATCTAGAGACTAACTAAACTTTACCGATTAAAACCTAGAATTTAAAACTGTACTCAAAATGGTTGACATACAGTGATGTAGGAAGAGCATGGCACTGTCATATGTGTGGTGCTAGGTGTGCATTCCGATGCCAAGGCAATCTGCTTATAGTGTGCATTCTGTGCCCTCACCTTGTAGGAGGGTCGGGGTGCTGTTTCTGCTCAGCAGCCGGGGCTTCATGAGCTTCTGCGAGACAGTGCGAATGTACTTCCTGAACAGGGCCCCTCCGCCCCCTTTCTGTGGCGTGTCCGTGGGGGACGGCTCCGATGCCTCTGCGGTGGCCGCCGGTCCCGATGTTGCCTGGGCTGAAGAGGAGGAGGAGGGGGACAGTGTAGTGAACAGCGACCCTGGAGGCTCAGACTGGGCCCTTCTGAAGGGGTTCTTCCTGGAGGCAGGGTTCTTCTCCAGCCTGGGGGCCTCCCCTCCTCGTCCAGCGGTTGAGGCCCTGTCCCCGGGATCCTCGCTCATGGCTTTCCGCCAGCTCTGCATCTTATTACTCCATTTGGTGGTGGTGGTGGTCTTCTCCATCTTCTCTGTTGTTGATGCTGTGACTCCACCCTCTCCTCTCGTCCCATCGAGGGTTGCTGCCTTGGCCCCGGTGTGCCACTTGTAGGTGTTGAGAGGGTCGACGTCCTCAGGAGGAGGGGCGTCTTGAGGCTGCTCAGCAGGGATCTCCTTGTTCTCCTCTGTGGGGCCCGTCTCCTCTGGAATCTGTTGAGCTTCTGGCTCAGATTCATCCTCCTGGTTTGTGCCCATTTTCATCTTGGTATCTGTGACTTTATCTTTTTTTTAGCTTGCTCCTCTCACTGTTTTCAAGAATGGATTGGAATAAATCGTCCTTACCTCCCTACTTGAAGTCCCTTCAAAATGTAATCGCTTAGGATGACTAATAATCTGGACATTACTTGTTTTTCTTTCTTGATTCTTTTTTTATTTCTGTGTTCCAAAATGTAATCCGGCAACATCAGTCTGACTGCTTCGTATGTAGTTCCTTTGCTGTGACTCTTCACGCCCTCAACCTCTCACACTCAACGGTTGCTTCCTTTCACTGTGTCACTAACACGTTATTGTTTTTCATGTATTTTAGTATTCTCTCTGCTCTCTCACCTCTCCCCTTCTTCATCTTGCCATCCTATCCAAGAGTTCTCTTTTTACTTTACCTCAAATCCTCCCACCCCTTCTGTAATGTTCTTAATGCCTTACTGGCCCTTGTCTTGAACAGAGTAGTGTTCAATTCCTCCGCTGCTTGGAAGAAATCTCCTCATAAAATCCTCAGGACGTCTTCACGTGTATGGTTTAGGTAACTGAAACTGTTGTTTAGTTTGTGAAGTTGTCCTCCACCTCACAGGAAGTGTGTCAGTTCACCCAATCATTTTGAAAGCGCCAGAGAGGAACAGAGGTCGTTTTCAAATGTTCTTCCCACTTGCCTACCCTTTCTTTGTATATGAAATGTAAATACAGGCTTGGTTTTGATTTGTTAATTTAGACTAGATATCATTTTTTTTGCATCTGTGCCTTCCTTTACTCAGATGGCTCTTATTTCTTCACACCTTCCTCTTTTTTAAATTTATAACATTGATTGAGACATATGCTCTGATGCTATCATAATTTCACAACTCTGTCCTATTCACCAGTTCTCTCAACTATTCGGATCAAACCTGAAGTTCATACATTAACGACAACTAGATGTAGAATATTTATTGAATGATAATTAATAGAACATCATCACCATCTGTGGGTCGTCTGACACAGATACATGTGGTTGTTTGTGTTTAGTGGCTGTTGGGCTCAGTTTCCTGTCTAAACCAGCAGAAGTTCCTGCCAGCCATACAGGTTCACTAGACTCTCTAAACCACTTCCTGTGTTGATGCTGCGCAGTTGTGACACATGCACCTGTTAAATATTTCACTCTCACACACTGGTCAATGTGTGTTTCATGAAATTATGGCTGTGAGTTTGAATTGGACAGGCAGCCAAGAATTCTGATCCAACACCATTGGATAGTTGAAAACAGGGTTACACAATACAGTTCTCTCTGATCAGTGCCAGATTATTCCAGATCAGAGAACCATTTTCAAAGTAGTCTCCTTTGAGTTGTGGATACTCCTTTTAAATGTCTCCTTATGCAACCTAAAACTGACTTAGTTAGAAGAGATACTTGCAACATCCAATAGCTTTGTCAATGACCCACCACCACAACCATCATTTATCTAAACCTTTACTCAGAAACACTGGAGGGCACTATTACACCAATATAACTGAACTGTCGTCAGGAGATAGAATTGAACATACTGTAACACCTATTTTAAAGTCTCTGCATTGGTTGCAGTATCCCTTCTTTCTTTTCTCTCCAAAATTATTGAGCGTGCCGTCTCTAGCCAACTCTCCTGCTATCTCTCTCAGAATGACCTTCTTGATCCAAACCAGTCAGGTTTCAAGACTGGTCATTCAACTGAGACTGCTCTTCTCTGTGTCACAGAGGCTCTCCGCACTGCTAAAGCTAACTCTCTCTCCTCTGCTCTTATCCTTCTAGACCTATCTGCTGCCTTTGATACTGTGAACCATCAGATCCTCCTCTCCACCCTCTCCGAGTTGGGCATCTCCGGCGCTGCTCACTCTTGGATTGTGTCCTACCTGACAGGCCGCTCCTACCAGGTGGCGTGGCGAGATTCTGTCTCCGCACCACGTGCTCTCACCACTGGTGTCCCCCAGGGCTCAGTTCTAGGCCCTCTCCTATTCTCTCTATACACCAAGTCACTTGGCTCTGTCATATCCTCACATGGTCTCTCCTATCATTGCTACGCAGACGACACACAATTAATTTTCTCCTTTCCCCCTTCTGATAACCAGGTGGTGAATCGCATCTCTGCATGTCTGGCAGACATATCAGTGTGGATGTCGGATCACCACCTCAAGCTGAACCTCGGCAAGACGGAGCTGCTCTTCCTCCCGGGGAAGGACTGCCCGCTCCATGATCTCGCCATCACGGTTGACAACTCCATTGTGTCCTCCTCCCAGAGTGCAAAGAACCTTGGCGTGACCCTGGACAACACCCTGTCGTTCTCCGCTAACATCAAAGTGGTGACCCGATCCTGCAGGTTCATGCTCTACAACATTCGCAGAGTACGACCCTATTTTAAACAGAAAGCGGCACAGGTCCTAATCCAGGCACTTGTCATCTCCCGTCTGGATTACTGCAACTCGCTGTTGGCTGGGCTCCCCCTAAAACTTATCCAGAACGCTGCAGCCCATCTGGTGTTCAACCTTCCCAAGTTCTCTCATGTCACCCCGCTCCTCCGCACACTCCACTGGCTTCCAGTTCAGGCTCGCATCAACTACAAACCATGGTGCTTGCCTACGGAGCTGTGAGGGGAACGGCACCTCCTTACCTTCAGGCTCTGATCAGACCCTACACCCAAACGATGGCACTACATTCATCCACCTCTGGCCTGCTAGCCCCCCTACCTCTACGGAAGCACAGTTCCCGCTCAGCCCAGTCAAAGCTATTCGCTGCTCTGGCACCCCAATGGTGGAACAAGCTCCCCCACGACGCCAGGACAGCGGAGTCACTGACCACCTTCCGGAGACACTTGAAACCCCACCTCTTTAAGGAATACCTGGGATAGTATAAAAGTAATCCTTCTACCCCCCCCCATAAAAAAATATATTTTGTAAGTGGCTCTGGATAAGAGCGTCTGCTAAATGACGTAAATGTAAATGTAAATGTTGCCTGTAGTTTTATCATTTATTTTAAAATAGATGTATTGATTTTTAAAGTACTACGTGGCCCTGCACCTGAATACATGTCTGACATGCTTTTAAGATACTGTATGTGCCCGGTCGGTCCCTCAGATCCTCTTTTAGTTGTTCCAAAGGTGAGAACCAAAACAGTTGGTGAGGCTGCCTTCAGCCACTATGGTCCTGGCCTTTGGAACAGCCTGCCGGAGGATCTGAGGGCCTCAGAAACTGTAGACAGTTTGAAGAGCTTAAGACATAACTTTTTTGTAAATTTATTTTTCATACTGGCCCCCCGTGGGAATCGAACCCACAACCCTGGCGTTGCAAACGCCATGCTCTACCAACTGAGCTACATCCCTGCCGGCAATTCCCTCCCCTATCCTGGGCCAATTGTGCGCCGCCCCATGGGTCTCCCGGTCACAGCCAGCTGCGACAGAGCCTCGATTTGAACCAAGATCTCTAGTGGCACAGCTAGCACTGCAATGCAGTGCCTTAGACCACTGCGCCACTCGGGAGACACTGCGGGGTATGCTTAGTCATACTATCTATTTTATTCCATTGTATATATCTTATTTATTTTATTTTATTTTAATGCATTAGTCTCTCATGTCCACTGTTATTGTTTTACTATTTTAATTTGTCTCATTTAGAAAACCTATTTGTGTCTTTCTAACCTTTTATTTTATTTTCTAAGCACTTTGAAATGCATAATCTGTAAGAAATGTGCTCTGAAAATAAAGTTTCAGGAATCAGGAAAATAGCCCACAGTAGAGCCATTCAACCACAAACTTACATTCATATGCAAAGTGTCTCAAATGATTTCGTACATATTTACTAGTGTGTAATGCAGTAATACTGTGACTAATAAATACTTAATAAGTACTTCTCAAACAGCTTAATAGTCTGGATAATGAATGAATAAAAATGTTCTTTCAAGCATTCTTCATAAGTTATATGAAAAACTCTAATGAAACTGTTTTTTTTGTTGGGGTTCACATCCCCTTTATTTTTATTATTAAAAATAGACAGTTCAAAGGAAAGGGGGAGACGGTGGAGAAATTCAGATGCCCAGTATGGCCCAGAGTTGTGTGTGTGTGTGTTTGTGCTTGAGTCACTCCTCTTTGGGGAGGCTGTTGGTGCATGTGAAGAACTTCCACACACGTCGGAAGAATCGCAGAACGCCATTTTTCTTCCGCTTCTTTATTTCGCCGGACACCTTTGCCACTGAGTTCAACGCCTCGGTCACTCCGCTGCTCACCTCAGAACAGCTCTCAGTAGATAGCTGCATCACCTTGCTGAGGCCATTTCCAGTGTTCAGAAGGTCTCCAATTGTCTCCGTCTTCTTTGTGTCACTGCACACCTCTTCCACTGCGTTCAACACCTCAGGCACTCCTATGCTCACCTCAGGAAGCCTCTCGGTGGATCCGAAATAGGACTAAACAGACAATGCAGAGCAGTGAAAGAGTAAGAACAACAACACACATCTGTCCTTTAGCTGTTTCACAAAACATACCACAGACATCCAAAGTCAAAGATTATAGAAGCTAATTTATAATATTGTCCAGTTTCAGACAACCCTGATACACCCAACTTACAAAGACTTGCTTTTTGTTCCTTACCTTTGGGGGTTTTGCAATCATATTATTGAAGTCTCGGGTCAGCTGATCTTCCAAGTCCTCCTTCAGCCACCCTTTGGGGTTCACCACCTTGCTGAGGACATTTTCAGTGTCCAGAAGGTTTTCAGCAGCTGCTGTCTTCTTTGTGTCACTGGACACCTCTTCCACTGCGTTTGAGGCCTCAGGACCTCTGCTGCACACCTCAGGAAGGCTCTCGGTGGATCCGAAATAGGACTGAACAGACAATGCAGCGTAATGAAAGAGCAAGAACAACACATCTGTCGTTTTTCAAAAAACATACCAAAGACATCCAAAGTCAAAGATTATAGTAGCTAATTTATAATATTGTCCAGTTTGAGACAACCCTGATACACCCAACTTACAAAGATGCTTGACCTTTCAATTACAAAATAGGCTTATTGTTCCTTACCTTTGGGAGTTTTGCAATCATATTATTGAAGTCTCGGGTCAGCTGATCTTCCCAGTCCTCCTTCAGCCACCCTTTGGGGTTCACCACCTTGCTGAGGACATTTTCAGTGTCCAGAAGGTTTTCAGCAGCTGCTGTCTTCTTTGTGTCACTGGACACCTCTTCCACTGCGTTTGGCGCCTCAGGCACCTCACTGAACACCTCTGGACTTCCCCTGCACACCTCAGGACCTCCACTGCACACATCAGGCACTCCACTGCATACCTCGGGACCTCCATTGAACACCTCAGGCACTCTAATGCACACCTCAGAACTGCTGCACACCTCAGGATGGCTCTCAGTGGATAGCTGCACCACCTTGCTTAGGCCATTTCCCGTTTTCAGAGGGTTTCCAGTAGACTCTGTCTTCTTTGTGTCACTGCACACCTCTTCCACTGTGTTTGAGGCCTCAGGACCTCTGCTGCACACCTCAGGAAGGCTCTCGGTGGATCCGAAATAGGACTGAACAGACAATGCAGCGTAACAAAAGAGCAAGAACAACACATCTGTCGTTTTTCAAAAAACATACCACAGAAATCCAAAGTCAAAGATTATAGTAGCTAATTTATAATATTGTCCAGTTTGAGACAACCCTGATACACCCAACTTACAAAGATGCTTGACTTTTCATTTACAAAACAGGCTTCATGTTCCTTACCCTTGGGAGTTTTGCAATCATATTATTGAAGTCTCGGGTCAGCTGATCTTCCCAGCCCTCCTTCAGCCACCCTTTGGGGTTCACCACCTTGCTGAGGACATTTCCAGTGTCCAGAAGATCTTCAGCAGCCACTGTCGTCTTTGTGTCACTGGACACCTCTTCCACTGCGTTTGGCGCCTCAGGCACCTCACTGAACACCTCAGGACTTCCCCTGCTCACCTCAGGACCTCCACTGCACACGTCAGGCACTCCACTGCATACCTCGGGACCTCCATTGAACACCTCAGACACTCTAACGCACACCTCAGGACTGCTGCACACCTCAGGACGGCTCTCAGTGGATAGCTGCACCACCTTGCTTAGGCCATTTCCCGTTTTCAGAGGGTTTCCAGTAGACTCTGTCTTCTTTGTGTCACTGCACACCTCTTCCACTGTGTTTGAGGCCTCAGGACCTCTGCTGCACACCTCAGGAAGGCTCTCGGTGGATCCGAAATAGGACTGAACAGACAATGCAGCGTAATGAAAGAGCAAGAACAACAAATCTGTCGTTTTTCAAAAAACATCCCACAGACATCCAAAGTCAAAGATTATAGTAGCTAATTTATAATATTGTCCAGTTTGAGACAACCCTGATACACCCAACTTACAAAGATGCTTGACCTTTCATTTACAAAATAGGCTTATTGTTCCTTACCTTTGGGAGTTTTGCAATCATATAATTGAAGTCTTGGGTCAGCTGATCTTCCCAGTCGTCCTTCAGCCACCCTTTTGGGTTCACCACCTTGCTGAGGACATTTCCAGTGTCCAGAAGGTCTTCAGCAGCCTCTGTCGTCTTTGTGTCACTGGACACCTCTTCCACTGCGTTTGACACCTCAGGCACTCCACTGCACACCCCAGGCCCTCCGCTGCTCACCCCAGGCACTCCACTGCACACCTCAGGACCTCCGCTACACACCTCAGGACCGCTGCACAGCTCAGCCACTCCACTGCACACCTCAGGACGGCTCTCAGTGGATAGCTGCACCACCTTTCTCAGGCCATTTCCAGTGTTCAGAAGGGCTCCAGTAGCCTCTGTCTTCTTTGTGTCACTTGACACCTCTCCCACTGCATTTGACACCTCAGGCACTCCACTGCACACCTCAGGACCTCTGCTGCACACCTGTGAACTTCTGCTGCACTCCTCAGGACCTCTGCTGCTCACCTCAGAACCTCTGAACCTCACCTCAGGTCCTCTGCTGCTCACCTCAGGACCTCTGCACCTCACCTCAGGACCTCTGCACCTCACCTCAGGCACTCTTCTGCACACCTCAGGACCTCTTCTGCACACCTCAGGACCTCTGCTGCACACCTCAGGACCTCTGCACCTCACCTCAGGCACTCTTCTGCACACCTCAGGACCTCTTCTGCACACCTCAGGACCTCTGCTGCACACCTCAGGCACTCTTCTGCACACCTCAGGACCTCTGCTGCACACCTCAGGCACTCTGCTCCCACACCTCAGACCTCTGCTGCACACCTCAGGTCCTCTGCTGCTCACCTCAGGACCTCTGCACCTCACCTCAGGACCTCTGCACCTCACCTCAGGCACTCTTCTGCACACCTCAGGACCTCTTCTGCACACCTCAGGACCTCTGCTGCACACCTCAGGCACTCTGCTGCACACCTCAGGACCTCTGCCACACATCTCATGAAGGCTCTCAGTGGATTCGAAATAGGACTAAATAGACAATGCAGAGCAATGAAAGAGTAAGAACAAAACAATATCTGTCCTTTTTCACAAAACATACCACAGACATCTAAAGTCAAAATGTATAGAAGCTAATTTGTAATATTGTCCAGTTTGAGACAACTCTGATACACCCAACTTGCAAAGACACTTGACCTTTCATTTACGAAACAGGCTTCTTGTTCCTTACCTTTGGTAGTTCCGCAATCATATCATAGAATTTTCGGGTTAGCTGATCTTTGCAACCCTCCTTCAGCCACACTTTGGGCTTCACCACCTTGCTGAGGACCTTTCCATCTCCAGCAGCCTCTTTCTCCACACCGACCAGGGCCAGCGGCTCAGCCTGGACATCCACCACATTGTTATTCGGAGACTCCACTGAAGCCTCCTCGTTGGTGTTGTCAATGTCAGCAGCCCCAGCGACACTGGCCGGGCACTTGGTCTTTGGTCTTTTCTCTTCAATTAGAGTTTCCTTTGAAGAGGTCTCAGAATGTCCATAAAGCTCAGAGAGCTGTAAATGGACAGAGACGTACATAACTATCTGTATAGCACTTTGTGACATCTGCTGATGTAAAAAGGGCTTTATAAATAAATGTGATTGATTGATATCCTATAGCTGTTTCACAAATAAAACAAACCAAAGACATCCAACGTTGATAGTAATTCCTATGTAATACTGACCAACTTTTACCACCATATTATACACAGAAACGACAAAGATGCTTGACATTTTATTCAAAGAAACAATATTGTCATTGCAGATGGCTCTTATGTCTTACCTCAGTGGCCAGGCATGTCTCATCCTTTAGGTGCAAGAAGTTCAACTTCCAACACTCCTCTTTCAGAAGCTGGATGTCTCCGTCGGGCGCAGTGTCCACGATGACATTTGGTATCCTTAATTCAACCGGAACTCTCTGGCCACTGAGCAGGATAACTATCTCTGTCTCTGTTTCCTGTAATTCCAGGCCCCTCTTTGCATCCCAAGTCTATGTAACAACATAATATGTCATTAAAAGACCGTTGATGGTACCAGGTGAGACTGGACACTGGTCCATCATTGAAATGATTGCGAAAATTATGAATTTGAACTGATATCTATTGTTTTTCTCTTTGGGTACAAAAATGAGCTTGCTGATATTTGAAGTGCTTTACAGTGGGTGTACTGTTTGCGCTACATAGTCCTCACCAATTCAGCTACAGAGACCTTCCTCCATCTCTTCCATGTCTCTGCCTCACGCCTTCATGTGAATATGGAAATGTATCAGACTGTGTCTGTCTGCTCTATCTATCAAACTATTGCTATCATCTAATATATTTTGATACATTCAGGTTATCATTTGGCCTTGTGTACTGATGTGATAAACTCAAGTTACCTAAATGAAGTATAAAGTTTCGTACTTCGTATTTAAAAATAGTCTGAGAACACTGCACTTACTCCAGGAAGACTCTTTTCCCTGCCAGGAGCCAGGCCTTCATTGGTCTCAGAGGGAGGTCCAGTGGGAGCCTTCCCTGGGCTTTCAGCATACAGAATTGCCTCTTGAGCATTTTCTGCAATAGAGTCTTCAATTAGTGACGAAACCAGTTAGAATGTGGCAATCAGAGAGTGATATGAATTGGTTCATGGCAGAAACGAACTGCTCCTCCATGGAGAGTGATGAGGCCTTTTTGATTATTAATTTTTGTTGGCCAAAGCCCTGCAGAAAGAGCGAGAGTTACTGAGCACAGTACCCAACACCAGATGTCTACATCTGTCTTTTATTAATTAATGCTGGGAAAAGTTATCTAAATGGGAAGAATATACATTATACCTTACATAGAACAAGACCATGCAATATAAACAATGAAAATGCAGATGAGATTAATGAGACCTTAATTATGATGAGGAAGCAAGTCATCTTAGATTATCGATAAATTGCTTGTATTCGATATGATCCAAGTAACGTTATTTTTCTCAAATGTCGAATGCGTGCAATATCGGTCATTCTCATTATGGGAAGACCTACTTACCTTACATTATATAATTGTTTTGATTGACTTGAATGAAGAATGCGCGTTTGCTATAGATATACTGTAGGTTGGTTGTGATTGTGAATAATTTAACCTCTGAGTGATACACATAGAATTAGGAATTAGAATGTATGTTATTGGGCATTGTGACTCGTATAGAATTATATAATTTTGATTCGATTTCTATGGTGACGCGTTCCTTATTGCGCACAGAGTGCGTAATTTCTGAGCACATTTATTTGTCCTGTTGTATCATTTGCCCCGGGCAAATCCTATTTCTTCCTAATGAATACAGATCCTATAACATTTTTACGCGATGTCACGGGAAAAAAACGTTATTTATGATGGTTTATTGGCATTGAAAGAAAAATACATAAAACATGCAATACAGTATTAAAATATGTTGGTTAAAAAATCTCTTCAAAGTTGAAGACAATAGGCTATTTAAAGGTGGCTATATGAAATACATTACAGAATCACTCAATACAATTTACACTATGCCTAGATATCAACAAAATAAAATAGTATTTGTCACATGCGCGGAATACAACAGGTGTAGACATTACAGTGAAATGCTTACTTACAAGCCCTTAACCAACAACGCAGTTTTAACAAAAAATAAGTGTTAAGTAAAAAATAATTAAAGAGCAGCAGTAAAATAACAGTAGTGAGGCTATATACAGGGGATACCTGTACAGAGTCAATGTGCGGGGCACAGGTTAGTCGAGGTAATTGAGGTAATATGTACATGTAGGTAGAATTAAAGTGACTATGCATAGATAATAAACAGAGAGTAGCAGCATCGTAAAAGAGGGGGTGTGGGGGGGACAATGCAAATAGTTCGGGTAGCCATTTGATTAGCTGTTCAGGAGTCTTATGGCTAGGGGTAGAAGCTATTAAGAAGCCTTTTGGACCTAGACTTGGCACTCCGGTACCGCTTGCCATGCCGTAGCAGAGAGAACAGTCTCTGACTAGGGTGGCTGGAGTCTTTGACAATTTTTAGGGCCTTCCTCTGACACCGCCTGGTATAGAGGTCCTGGATGGCAGGAAGCTTGGCCCCAGTGATGTACTGGGACGTACGCACTACCCTCTGTAGTGCCTTGCGGTCGGAGGCCCGAGCAGTTGCCATATCAGGCAGTGATGCAACCAGTCAGGATGCTCTCGATGGTGCAGCTGTAGAACAAATATTTTCAGTCTCCTGAGGGGGAATAGGCTTTGTCGTGCCCTCTTCACGACTGTCTTGGTGTGTTTGGACCATGATAGTTTGTTGGTGATGTGGACACCAAGGAACTTGAAGCTCTCAACCTGCTCAACTACAGCCCCGTCGATGAGAATGGGGGCGTGCTCGGTCCTCTTCTTTTTCCTGTAGTCCACAATCATCTCCTTTGTCTTGACCACGTTGAGGGAGAGGTTGTTATCCTACCACCACACGGCCAGGTCTCTGACCTCCTCCCTATAGGCTTTCTCATCGTTGTCGGTGATCAGGCCTACCACTGTTGTGTCGTCAAACTTAATGATGGTGTTGGAGTCGTGCCTGGCCATGCAGTCATGGGTGAACAGGGAGTACAGGAGGGGACTGAGCACGCACCCCTGAGGGGCCCCCGTGTTGAGGATCAGCATGGCAGATGTGTTGTTACCTAACCTTACCACCTGGGGGTGGCCCGTCAGGAAGTCCAGGATCCAGTTGCAGAGAGAGGTGTTTAGTCCCAGGGTCCTTAGCTTAGTGATGAGCTTAGAGGGCACTATGGTGTTGAACGCTGAGCTGTAGTCAATGAATAGCATTCTCACGTAGGTGTTCCTTTTGTCCAGGTGGGAAAGGGCAGTGTGGAGTGCAATAGAGATTGCATCATCTGTGGATCTCTTGGGGCGGTATGCAAATTAGAGTGGGTCTAGTGTTTCTGGGATAATGGTGTTGATGTGAGCCATGACCAGCCTTTCAAAGCACTTCATGGCTTAGTGCCATGTGGTGGTAAATAGACAGCTACGAAAAATATAGATGAAAATTATCTTGGTAAATAGTGTGGTCTACAGCTTATCATGAGATACTCTACCTCAGGTGAGAAAAACCTAGAGACTTCCTTAATATTAGATTTCATGCACCAGCTGTTGTTTACAAATATACACAGTCCGCCACCCCTTGTCTTACCGGAGGCAGCTGTTCTATCTTGCCGATGCAGCGTATATCCCGCCAGCAGTATGTTATCCATGTCGTTGTTCAGCCACGACTCGTGAAACATAAGATATTACAGTTTTTAATGTACCGTTGGCAGGATATCCGTGATCGTGGTTCGTCTATTTTGTTATCCAATGATTGTACGTTGGCTAGCAGGACTGATGGTAGAGGCAGATTACCCACTCGCCGTCGGATTCTTACAACGCACCCCGACCTACGTCCCCGATATCTCCTTCTCTTTCTCATGCGAATGACAGGGATTTGGGCCTTGTCGGGTGTCTGAAGAAAATCCTTTGCGTCCGACTCGTTAAAGAAAAAATCTTTGTCCAGTACGAGGTGAGTAATCACTGTCCTGACATCCAGAAGCTCTTTTCGGTCACAAGAGACGGTGGCATAATCATTATGTACAAAATAAGTTACAAATACCGCGAAAAAAACACACACAATAGCACAATTGGTGAGGAACCCGTAAAACGGCAGCAATCTCCTCCAGCGCCATTTCCAGTGTTATTGGATATTTAACATTTTACTGTACTGTTAATATATTGAAAGTGTATGAAAATAGCTAAATCAGTGTTGTCATTTAGAAATTGAACAAATATGCCATGATTGTCAATCCATGCTGATAAAGCAAATAATTATAATTTCAAAATATGTATTATTACAATAATGAAATTAATAATAACATTCAAAATAATGTTCACTGTCTTGAGTTTACAATCATTTGATTGAAATCGAGGCTTTAGGCCTATTTAAGAAATGTTTTATTAATTTTAACTTACACACCTGTTAAACATTTCACTCTCACAACCTGGTCAATATGTGTTTCATGAATTGGACAGATAGCCAAGTTGTATAATTCATTAGCCAAAACAGTTTTCTCTAATGCCAGATCAGTGCCAGATTATGCTAGATCAGAGATTACCCCATGTAAGGGAGGAAGGATGGAAAGGTCCTTTCAAAGTATTCCAACAGGGCCAATTGTCTCCCTACGCCCGCTAAAACTGATGTTTTTTATTTTTTAAAGGCGATGTTTACAGTAATTTAATTGTAATTAACTATTTTAATTAATTAACATTTAACTTAACATGTTGATATAGGCTAAGCGGAGTGAAACCCAGTCATTGAGGGAACATATCCATGCTGGATCCACTGGTAGCCTTGGTTCCTATACCATGTCACTGTCTCTCTCTCTCTCTCTCTCTCTCTCTCTCTCTCTCTCTCTCTCTCTCTCTCTCTCTCTCTCTCTCTCTCTCTCTCTCTCTCTCTCTCTCGACAGATGCAGCTATACTGATCAAAAATAAAATGCAACATGCTACAATTTCAACGATTTTACTGAGTTAAAGTTCATACAAGGAAATCAGTCAATTGAAATAAATTAATTAGGCCCTAATCTATGGATTTCACATGACTGGGCATAGGCCCACCCACTGGGGAGCCAGGCCCAGCCAATCAGAATGAGTCTTCCCCCACAAAAGGGCTTTATTACGGAAATACTCCTCAGTTTCATCAGCTGTCCGGATGGCTGGTCTCAGACGATCCCACAGGTGAAGAAGCCGGATGTGGAGGTCCTGGGCTGGCGTAGTTACACGTGGTCTGCGTTTGTGAGGCCGATTGGACGTACTGCCAAATTCTCTAAAACGACGTTGGAGATGGTTTATGGTAGAGAAATGTACATTCAATTCTCTGGCAACAGCTCTGGTGGACATTCCTGCAGTCAGCATGCCAATTGCACACTCCCTAAAAATTTGAGACATCTGAGGTATTTTGTTGTGTGACAAAACTGCACATTTTAGAGTGGCTTTTTATTGTCCCCAGCACAAGGTGAACCTGTGTAATGATCATGCTGTGTAATCAGCTTCTTGATATGCCACACCTGTCAGGTGGATGGTTTATCTCAGCAAATGAGAAATGCTCACTAACAGGGATGTAAACACATTTCTGCACAAAATTGGAGAGAAATAAGCTTTTTGTGCGTGTGGAAAATTTGTGGGATCTTTTATTTCAGCTCATGAAACATGGGACCAACACTTTACATGTTGCTTTTATATTTTTGTTCCGTATACAGTTGAAGTCGGAAGTTTACATACACCTTAGCCAAATACATTTAAACTCAGTTTTTCACAATTCCTGACATTTAATCCTAGTAAAAATTCCCTGTCTTAGGTCAGTTAGGATCACCACTTTATTTTAAGAATGTGAAATGTCAGAATAATAGTAGAGAGAATGATTTATTTAAGCTTTTACTTCTTTCATCACATTCCCAGTGGGTCAGAAGTTTACATACACTCAATTAGTATTTGGTAGCATTGCCTTTAAATTGTTTAACTTGGGTCAAACGTTTCGGGTAGCCTTCCACAAGCTTCCCACAATAAGTTGGGTGAATTTTGTCCCATTCCTCCTGACACAGCTGGTGTAACTGAGTCAGGTTTGTAGGCCTCCTTGCTCGCACACGCTTTTTCAGTTCTGCCCACACATTTTCTATAGGATTGGGGTCAGGGCTTTGTGATGGCCACTCCAATACCTTTACTTTGTTGTCCTTAAGCCATTTTGCCACAACTTTGGAAGTAAGCTTGGGGTCATTGTCCATTTGGAAGACCCATTTGCGACCAAGCTTTAACTTCCTGACTAATGTCTTGAGATGTTGCTTCAATATATCCACATAATTTTCCTTCCTCATGATGCCATCTATTTTGTGAAGTTCACCAGTCCCTCCTGCAGCAAAGCACCCCCACAGCATGATGCTGCCACCCCCGTGCTTCATGGTTGGGATGGTGTTCTTCGGCTTGCAAGGCACCCCCTTTTTCCTCCAAACATAACGATGGTCATTATGGCCAAGCAGTTCTGTTTTTGTTTAATCAGACCAGAGGACATTTCTCCAAAAAGTACGATCTTTGTCCCCATGTGCAGTTGCAAACCGTAGTCTGGCTTTTTTATGGCGGTTTTGGAGCAGTGGCTTCTTCCTTGCTGAGTGGCCTTTCAGGTTATGTCGATATAGGACTCGTTTTACTGTGGATATAGATACTTTTGAACCTGTTTCCTCCAGTATCTTCACAAGGTCCTTTGCTGTTGTTCTGGGATTGATTTGCACTTTTCGCACCAAAGTATGTTCATCTCTAGGAGACAGAACGCGTCTCCTTCCTGAGCGGTATGACGGCTGCGTGGTCCCATGGTGTTTATACTTGCGTACTATTGTTTGTACAGATGAACGTGGTACCTGCAGCCGTTTGGAAATTGCTCCCAAGGATGAACCAGACTTATGGAAGTCTACAAGGTCTTGGCTGATTTCTTTTGATTTTCCCATGATGTCAAACAAAGAGGCACTGAGTTTGAAGGTAGGCCTTGAAATACATCCACAGGTACACCTCCAATTGATTCAAATTATGTCAATTAGCCTATCAGAAGCTTCTAAAGCCATGATATCATTTTCTGGAATTTTACGAGCTGTTTAAAGGCACAGTCAACTTAGTGTATGTAAACTTCTGACCCACTGGAATTGTGATACAGTGAATTATAAGTGAAATAATCTGTCTGTAAACAATTGTTGGAAAAATTACTTGTGTCATGCACAAAGTAGATGTCCTAACCGACTTGCCAAAACTATAGTTTGTTAACAAGAAATGTGTGGAGTGTATGTAAACTTCCGACTTCAACTGTACGTCTCTCTGTTGTGTTACAATACTGTAATGTGAAGCAGTGACAACCAAGAGGGTGAGCGTTATACAACGTTATAACTCTAAAACACACTATTATCATGGACATAACAAATTGATACCCCCATACAATCCAATGAGACATTTTGACAAAATTGGTTTTATTCCACACTGCTTTTTACATGCTTGTCTTCTTCATTGGTCCTTTTTCAATGAGCTGGTTTCCTGTAAAATATTGCTATAATGAGTGATCAAGATAACACAGGATCAAAATGTGTCAGCAGCATCAATATCAACAGTGCACAAACAGCTCAATGTTGGTGTTTATCACTAATGTCTAATGTATGAAAAAGGGCACAATTGTATTATGACTGAATAGTGTTCCGGTGTTCTGGCGCAACTGTGATGCTCTTTTGATCGTGTATGTATTAAAATGATACATTTGACATTGACTAACAGTATAGTAGCCTATAATACTGACCAGTCTCTCACCCCAAAGTGCTCCCAGCCCCTGATCTCTGAGTAGAGTGCGTCTCCTGGACAGGAGGTGTCCACCAACTGCCGGTGCCCGTAGAGGGTGAAGTTGGACTGCAGGCGCCCGCCATCCACTGCACACTTGGCCAGGTGTTGGCGCACCAGATCCAGGGTGTGGCGCGAGGGCAGAGAGGAGGAGTAGTTGCCGATGAAGGCCACGCCATAACCGTAAGAGTTCTGCCCCCTGGTGTGGGTGCCAAGGTGATGCCAGCCGCGCCCCTCGTAGATGTACCCGTCAGAACCCACCACAAAGCTGAGGGGAACATACATTTAGGAGTTGGAGTGATAAAACAAATTGCATTATCTCACAACCCTGATTCCTGTTATAGCATCTTGTCATTATATATTGCTTCAAGTTATACTGTGTAATATCATGTCAAGATTTGCTATGATATGACTGCTTCAGTAATTTTTGGCTGACACAGTACACTTGTCTCCATCTATGAAGCTTAGTGTAAAGGGTTTGTTAAAATCTTGTAATGGATGAGGGGGTCAAAGGTCACCTATATCCAATGTCGGCCCAGCCGCGGTCTTCTTGGTGGAAGCGCTGCATGGCCCTCATGTTCCTGGAGCATTGCCGGAAGGAGCGACAGGGCCTGTCTGGCTGGTAGGTGTGGTGGATGTACAGGAAGGGGAGGGGCAGGGCAAGAGGGAAGGGAGACCCTCGGTAGGGTGCCGCCCCCCACTGACACCGTGGGATGATGGGAGGGCAGTCTGGAGAGGAGAGGTTGAACCAGAGTAGAACAGGTTCAATTACTCTTCATATCTACAGACCAATTTTCTGTAGACTTCAAATTAATAGCCATTCATCACCTACAATTTCATAATTACAGGGGTAAATTATTCCCTCTTCCCCATCTCGAGACTCACCCCAGTATCTGTGGACAAATTCCAGCATTCCGTCTCTCACTGCTTTTTCCACCCCTGTATCATTGGCTATCCACTGAGTGTCCTCCAGCCTCCACACCAAGTATAGGGTCTCCATCACCTGCCTCTGGGTGTCCAGGGTTCCCAGCAGGGCTTGGGAAATCTCCCTGCGCTTGGGGCTGATGTGGCTGTATACAACCCCCAGGTCCTGCCCATCCAGTACATGGTTGTAGTAACCCTTCAGCACCTCGCTGAGTTTACCAGGCTGTTCAGAGGGGGCCAGGGTGGCAAGGTCCATGCCCAAGATGGACCCATCCATTCCCCCGTTGATGAGGGCATCGGTGGCCAGGGTGGGCACACGCGATAGCTGGAACACCCTGGGGTGGGCCACGTTGTCCCAGCAGCCGTCCGGCCCCAGACGCTGAGCGGGTGGAAAGTCCTGGAGGCTAAGGAACGACAACCCTAGGTTTTTGGCCAAGGTGAGGGGAAACATGCCCAGAGGAGGGGTGCCTTCCAGCTTAGCTTTCAGCCCCACCTCGATGCCTAGAAGCATGGGAGCGATGGCCACTGTGGTGCCATCTTGGGTCAGAACGACCCCTCTCTCTGCACCACGGTCCGTCACAAAATGTTGGATGGCTTTGTCGAAGAAGCCAAAGAGAGTGGCGTTGAACACAGAGTTGTGGGTGTGGCTGATGTTGTTGGAGGCCCCCAGGAAGTGCAGGGTGAGTGGATCCTCGTGTCCGGCCGTCCTACGGAGGCTCCTCACCAGGGCTAGTGGTGACAGGTCTGGGTTAGAGTCCTCAGCCTGCTCAACGGCACTGATAAAACTGTCCATGTCCCGCAGGTGGTTCTCTGAAACCAAAACAAATGTTTTTCGTTCATGCTACAACAAACTCAGTGCAAACAGTCACCTGGGGCTTCATTCATACTCATATTCATACTATCTTGGGGTATTTAATGTATCGTACACCAGCTAAATACTAGTGAATTTTTTGTTAAATTGAGCTCTAAGTTTAATGATAGAAGCATATGTTGCCAATGTAGATGTGTACAGACAATGCAGTATGGCAGCCAAACTTTCAGACATATGAACACAAATAAACGTATAATATCAGTCAATTAACACAACTTACCTGAACAGAGAACGCTGTAGCACGTTCCAGCCACAATGAAGAGCCATACAACCACTATAGTCATTCTGAGTGCAGCTGTATCACACCGGATCCAGACGCTAAACTAAACCCACTAACGATCCCCAGACAAGGTCAACTCAGGCAGCCGATGACAGTTTTAATCTTCTTATCTCTTACAGTCCAGCACTCTGTTATGACAAACCACAACCACTCATGACAAACCACAAGAAGAATGTCCAGGTGCTCAATAAGGCTTTGTTTCAAGTACCTAAAGCTGGTTTCACTTCCCACTTCGGGGAATCAATGTGTTTGTAATGTGGTGTCCCAATAGATGAAATAACTCTTTATACACAGACGCCTCCAAATATTGATTGGTTCTTACCCAAAGTCAAAGTTTGTAATCGGAAAACAAATAAGGCCCTTTCAAGCTTGTGACGAAATCAGGCTTAAAGGGACTAGAGAAGTGTTGAAGATATGCTGGTTTCTGTTAGTCATCACAGTATTACATACATCTATTACATCCACCTTCCACACATACACACAGATGGTGAAGTCTGGTAAATGTGTTCCACGATGCATAGAGGAGAGGGGCGGTCTGTTTACCGTCAATGTCAGGGAAGCCCAGTAACCTTACTGGAAATGACACAAAACAAATTCCCAAAAAACAACCCAATGTAGTAGGCATACACTATAATCAGTGCATGTATGCTTTGTCAGATGACAACAACGTTCCTGACTCATGACATTAGTGTCCCATGACAGGTGGTGTTCATTGGCTTATGAGGTTTTGGTGGTTGGGAGTAAAGGGGAACAAAGTTTATCACCCTTGAGTGACTGCTACTTTGAGAATTGCAGCCAGTGTCTGTTTGTTTTTGTGGGTTTTTTCTATCCCCAAGCCTCTTGTTCCCTATGTTTATTTTCTCTTTGTGTCATTAGGAAAAACAGCCATTATGTGGTCCTCTGTAGCTCAGCTGGTAGAGCACGGCGCTTGTAACGCCAAGGTAGTGGGTTCGATCCCCGGGACCACCCATACACAAAAAAAATGTATGCACGCATGACTGTAAGTCGCTTTGGATAAAAGCGTCTGCTAAATGGCATATTATTATTATTATTATTATAAATGGGACAATAGTGGCCTCTTGGATGACAATTAGCTCTTTTTTTATTATTATTAGTATAGGTTTTAAAAAATCCGTTTAAAATAGTGATTTATGAAAACTGTAATATTTTTAATAATTGTTATCAATACCATAATGTTTAAACGGAAGATATTTCAACATTAACATCGTGATGTATGACTGTGACGTTTCACCCGGAACAGGAAGTAAAATGTGTTTGCAAATTGTGCTGCTAAGAACAACAACAGAAATTGGTGAGGAATATTAATTTAAATCATTTTATGAGAATATTTGCTATGTTTATTTCTTCGTGCATGTTTTATTGTTAACTTTCCACAATGTGTGCTCATTGAACGAATTAATCCTTGTTTTTATTCATATTCTGTTAAAAGAGTATCTAGCTAGCTAACGTTAGCTAGCTTAACATCACTTAGAGCCAGCTAGTAGCAGTGCACGTTTTCTGATGTGTTGAAATGGATGGATGGTTGTCAGAACAGTCATTGAGTGATGTTTGGTACAAATGCCGCGTTCAAAATAACTGGGAACTCGGAATTCTCTGACTTCCGACTATAGTGCGTTCAAGACAGCTGGGAACTCTGGAAAATACTAGCTCCGACTGGGAAAAATCGTTTTGAACGGTCAACCAAGTCGGCAACTAAGAGGGCATCCTTCTAGAGTTCTGACCTGAAGATCACTAACGTCATCATTTGACCTCGTTTTTTTCATCAGAGTTCCCAGTTGTCTTGAAAGCACCAACAGTCATGCGCTGCTATTTTATTTTACACCAACATGCTGCTGTTGTTGACAGTCACTCACTCTCCTCACCTTCCCCTCCCCGTGTAGAAAATGGAGACTCGCTTCACCATGGGCAAGTCTGCGATTCTAGAGCGCTCGCTCACCCGACCCAAGACTGAGGTCAGCGTGAGCGCATTCGCCCTACTCTTCTCTGAGATGGTGCAGTACTGCCAGAGTCGGGTGTACTCTGTGTCCGAGCTGCAGGCACGCTTGGCAGACTTGGGTCAAGGCGTGGGGGCCAGCCTGCTGGACGTGCTGGTGTTGAGAGAGAAGAATGGAAAAAGGGAAACCAAAGTGTTGAACATACTGCTCTTCATCAAGGTATGATCAAGAGAACATTGCACATTGTGTGTTTCACATACTCTACTTTTTCATTAGTGTAATAACAACAAATGTATAACATTATACTAACATTCACATAACATTAGGCTATAATGTAATACCAATAAAGCCTAGGTATACATGGCTCTTGGCTGTAGCAGCGACTTGTCCTCCACTTCAACAAACCTGGCCTCTGACATAAGCATAAACACAAACAAACCTTCACCTTTCTCTGCCTTCCGTTCCCCCTCGATTCCTCAGGTGTCGGTTTGGAGGGCCCTGTTCGGCAAGGAGGCAGACAAGCTGGAGCAGGCCAACGACGACGACAAGACCTACTATATCATTGAGAAGGAGCCCCTGATCAACGCCTTCATCTCGGTGCCCAAGGAGAACAGCACGCTCAACTGTGCCGCTTTCACCGGGGGCGTGGTGGAGGCCATTCTCACACACAGCGGCTTCCCCGCCAAGGTCACGGTGCACTGGCACAAGGGCACCACGCTCATGATCAAGTTTGACGAGGCCGTCATCGCCCGAGACAAGGCACTGGAGGGCAGATAGGATATTCTTGGGGTCATAGGCAGCATTCCTCCTCCTCCAAACACGGCGAGTTGAGTTGATGCCAAAGTGCTCGATTTTGGTCTCATCTGACCACAACACTTTCACCCAGTTCTCCTCTGAATCATTCAGATGTTCATTGGCAAACTTCAGACGGGCATGTATATGTGCTTTCTTGAGCAGGGGGACCTTGCGGGCGCTGCAGGATTTCAGTCCTTCACGGCGTAGTGTGTTACCAATTGTTTTCTTGGTGACTATGGTCCCAGCTGCCTTGAGATCATTGACAAGATCCTCCCGCGTAGTTCTGGGCTGATTCCTCACCGTTCTCATGATCATTGCAACTCCACGAGGTGAGATCTTGCATGGAGCCCCAGGCCGAGGGAGATTGACAGTTATTTTGTGTTTCTTCCATTTGCAAATAATCGCACCAACTGTTGTCACCTTCTCACCAAGCTGCTTGGCGATGGTCTTGTAGCCCATTCCAGCCTTGTGTAGGTCTACAATCTTATAGAGTTGAGAGGTAGTAGGAAGTGTGGATTGAGATGTAAAAGGGATGTACTGTATACCGTATTGGCTGTATAATGTATAGTGCTTCCTTTCCTATGTCCTATTCATTTTATTGTCCTGACAGATGTGGGAGATGGGAGAAAGTACTCACTTTAACTTCCCTATCTGTTGGCAAGGTCAATGTACGTACTTGAATATTGCTACGTGGGTGCAGCCAGTTTTTACAACAATGCATCAATTTGTGTACATAGTTACAGAACTTCCCTACTATGACTAACCCACTATAACTACGACATTATACTTCTTCCACTGCCGTAAATGAACTTTATGGCATTTGCAGAAAGTACACAGATTTTATTCAGAAACGTTAGCTTTAATCGTTATTTTACCTATTCGGTGCATTTGAATCAGTGAGGACAATGACATAGAACAAGGAAAGGAAGCTAGTTGAAAGTACAGTATTCATTCATTCAAAGGACCTACTCTAGAGGCAGATGAAAGGGAGGAGTAACAGTATGGAAAGAGGAGTGTGGATTGGGCAGCTCAGTGATGTGCTAGTAGTTCACTGATGAAAAAACAGAAATGGTCACAATTGAATGCGCTTTATCCTGGACTGATTGTTCAGCAAGATGTAGTTTTTGTAAAATGGAGTCCTCTGATTTAACAGAATTAGCTAGCACTGTACAATGATATGCACTGCAGTCTTATTTGTAATATCTTATGGGTGGGAAATGTTACAATGCTCCCCATTTAGACATGACACATCATTGTGTCATTGTAAATATATGTGTGGCTGCTTTAATGTCCACAACTTATTTGGTGCTTGTATATTGCTTTGTCAAATTGAAATAAATACTGTAATACCTGAAATAATGCCTTTGTATTTCATTGAAATGACCAAGAAATGTAATGTTTAAATTTACCATATGGACCAGAAATTCCATGAGAATAAATACATTGTGTCAATAACATAGGTCTCAAGTTATACATAATTAGATGTTGTGCTTGGTATGTGTTTTACTATTGTCTGCAATTAAATGTTGTCAGGAGGCTGCAAAGAGACGGTAAAGTTGAAGTGGGAGAAAGAGCTGAGAACAAGCGCCACCTTGTGCAGTCACATGATGGTACATGAGTCACGTGATCTCGTCTGAGGAACCGACTCATGTTTTGTCCTGATGCTGAACCTATGCAGTTATTGCAGAACACAGAAAAACGTCGTCCTCATGGCTATTTTCTCGGACAGTTAACTTTACGCCAACAATATACTCGCGTTTTATAACAGCTTTTATTTGCCCTATTTATTCTGAGACAGTTCAGATTTTATGTCGCATATTTATTCATAGTTTCAAAAGTTAACATGGCTACAGCAAGCGGCAATTGCAACCACGGCGGCGCCGGTTCAGGTATGTTGAGTTGTTTACAAGTCATTTTCAAGAATTTTCTGACAACATGTTACTTTGTAACTTTGTGTGTTTTAAGTGGTTTGTTACATTGTTGCATGCCTTCCATTGAAAGGAGGGCCCTGAGTATATTCTGCTTGTGTAACGTAGCTCTACAGTGGGCTGTCTTGTCTTGCCAATCATCTCCATAAAACAGACATCTCATTTTAGGGACAAAATTAGTGGTGAATAATCGTGAATAAATGCATTAGTAACATTGTATAACACAGTAACATTGTATAACACAGTAACATTGTATGAGGTTGACGCAGCAGTATCAACAATGTTTTGTTACAATGTTTCCAAACACTGACTGGAAGAAGCGTTATTGCAGAAATGTGTACCATCCACTCTCTTTAGTCAGTTATCACCTAAATGTATTGTTTTTAATCATGTGATCGCTGTTGCTGGACAAGTCATGCAGCTTTGATGTGTGCAATATGAGTCTTTGTGTGTGTGCTATTCCTGAATCATGAATGATGCATTATTTCCCATAGAAACTAGTAGCATATCCATTCAAATAACCAAGATGCTGATAGTCACAATGGCACAATTATTATTGTATTTTTTTACATTTAATAGATAGGGGAGAGTGGGGTAAGTTTTTTAAAAAGTAGAGTATGTAAATATTCATTCTAGCAAATATATATACATATAATTTATTTCAGGATGTTGTGTATGCCTGTAAATAATCAGAATGTAAATATTAGTTTTGAAATCATAGCTTGTCCAAAAAAAGTGGTCTCTTGGCACAGCTTACCACGGGTATGGGGTAAGTTGTGCCGTGGGACAGGGTAAGTTGAGCCACCTACAAATTATCACTACCTTTTTAAAAACCATGTCCAAACACAATTCAAAACAATCACAATAGCTTTTTTTGTCTTTTAATCATTTTACACATCTATTAACACAGTGTTATCACCTAACAAACATTTTGTATATTTTAAATACTTTTAACATAAGCCAGGCCCTGGTGTTACCTCATATCCCAGTGATTATGCCTTGCATTACTACGCCTGGGAAGAAAACACTTCAATTTGCTTAACTTGCCATTGGCTCAATTTACCCCATTGCCATTGGCTCAACTTACCCCAAGGCAAACACAACTACAAGGATGTACTTTCATGCTAGGTTTAGGGCCTCATATTAAAGCTTATAGAGACCCCAAATGATGTATAGAACAATCTTTAAAATATCTGCTTTGGTTTATATGCAAGCATCATGAAACCTCTAACACAATCAATTCATTTGAGTTGGTGAAAACCAGTTTGTTCGACCTAACTTGCTTACCACTTTTTCCATGTGGTTTCTTCCTCCACAGACTCCATGAAATCATGACTTCTTCCTAAATATTTGGTCAAATTATACATTTTGTGTATGGTTTCCTAGAAACAAGAGATGGCTCAACTTACCCTTTGGCTCAACATACCCCACTCTCCCCTACAGACATTCTGGATGAAATAGGCAAAGATGGTTGGCTTTATGTTGACATGCTGCTGACAGAGTTGGCCAATAACAGTTTACACTTGTCAAGTTTGGGGTAAGAAATTATACCTGATGGCCACTTAAAGCAAGGGACATTTTAGCCTTGAAATTGTTCTATTCTATCCCACCATTGCAGTCAATGCTGTACTTCAATTCTCATGAGTCTTGATTTAAGCATTTCCCCTAAATTTCAGGGTTCGTTCTATCCAGGATCCTTGGGACTCCAATGGGGTGAAGTCCGATCCCGTTTAGACTTTTCCTAAATTCTAGAGCGTTGGAAGCTGAAAGAAACTATTGTTTCATGAGCCCCCTCCAAGACCCCAAAGACCCTGACTACTCTTGCTCCCTCCCATCACCATAGCATGTCTGCCACATTTAAACCAGACTGACCCAGTTTCTCCATCTACCATACTCTGTGATAACCTCCCTCCACTCAGTTTCATAACTTCCTCTCACGTGTCGTAGTCTACGGTGCCCATATGACTGTGGGCATAGGCTTTCACTTCTGCACTTCTCTGTGTGTGGTTCAGGGGTTTTGAAAATGTCTTGTAAGCACTCAAGCAGTTATCAAGCATTTTCTTTCTCATGCCATAGTATACTTTAAACTCATTGTTTACAGTACTTCATTTGTGGTCTCATACATGGCATATTATGAAATTATTCACCACACCTTTAACAAGTGATGTGGGGCCATACTTGCGAACATTAGAAACAGTTTAAATGTAAACCTTTTCTCCGTCTCAAAATCTGCATCAGCCAATTACAAATGTTGACATAGTTGGACGTGACCGGAGATACTGGATATAATGACGAGATGCGTGTCTCCGCCGTAACAATGGGATTCGTTGTCCTCAGAGCGGAACGGCAGGCTGTCAAGCTCCCGCCTATTCCTCTCTTTGGATTGGTGGAACATCTCGTTATTTGAATACTTTTTTGAATTTTCGATGAGAGGTGTTGATGTCAAATGCCTGTATTCGATGGAGAGTGAGATAATATGCTATCTTCAAGAATATACATTGACCGTCTAGAATTTCAACGGGGACAACTCCGAGATAGTGTTTTTTTCTCAAAGTTGCCGGGATGTCAGGTGCATCACACTTCTATCAGTACACTTGTAACAACCAAAGCATTATGAAACTTCTATTAGATCAAATAAGCCTCATGTATCTAAATAGCAATAAAAAAAATGTGACTAAATTCGACATTCTCTCATTTCCCCACATACAAAACTCCTCACTTGCTTAATAATGAATGATCTGCTTATGTGGACAGATTTTAGGCGGAGTAAACCCTCTCGCTTCGCCTCTTCCTCCCTGACGTGACTGAACACTTTTTCATGAGAGCGTCCTTAACATAAGTCACATGGCACCATCTGCTAATCAAAGTTACTAAAACACGCACAAAAGTTCAATTGGACAGATAGCTCACAGTGTTGCGAGCCAGGTTTCTGGTCATTTTTAGCTGTTTGCGATGTTCAAATCCCAGGTGAATTTTTCCTTTGAAATGTAGAATTACATTTATTTATTTTTACATATTGTGTTTCGAAGGGTTCGGCTAAAACCGTGTTCAGACCCCTTGGCTTTTTCCACATTTTGTTACGTTACAATGCTAAAATGGATTAAATGTTTTTTTCCCTCATCAATCTACACACAATACCCCATAATGACAAAGCGAAAACGGGTTTTTAGACATTTTTGCAAATTTATAAAAAATACAAAACCGAAATACCTAATTTACATAGGTATTCAGACCCTTTGCTATGAGACTTGACATTGAGCTCAAGTGCATCCTGTTTCCATTTATCATCTTTGAGATGTTTCTACAACTTGATTGGAGTCCACCTGTGGTAAATTCAATTGATTGGACATGATTTGGAAAGGCACACACCTGTCTATGTAAGGTCCCACAGTTGACAGTGCATGTCAGAGCAAAAACCAAGCCATGAGGGAATTGTCCATAGAGGTCCGAGACAGGATTGTGTCGAGGCACAGATCTTGGGAAGGGTACCAAAAAATGTCTGCAGCATTGAAGGTCCCCAAGAACACTGTGGCCTCCATCATTCTTAAATGAAAGAATTTTGGAACCACCAAGACTCTTCCTAGAGCTGGCCACCACTGATGTTTCAGTTATTGTTTTGTTTATTTTTTTTAAATATTCTAAAAACCTGCTTTTGCTTTGTCATTATGGGGTATTGTGTGTAGATTGATGAGGGGGGAAAAAAACAATTTAATCCATTTTAGAATAAGGCTGTAACCTAACAAAATGTGGAAAAAGTCAAGGGGTCTGAATACTTTCAGAATGTACTGTAGTTTAACGTGACTGTTAGATCAAAAACACCACTTAATTTCTTATGTAGGCTACACTTACATGTACAACGTTTTCTATACATTACTATTAGGGCTGACCCCATTTAGTCGACTGGTTTGGTCAACCGTGATTTTCTTTTTTGTAGAGCAGTGGCAAATATATTAAAACAAATTATGGCACAAGAGACACGTCTGATTCAAGCCGGTCTGAGTGGACTAATCCAATGTGGAGATGTACACCAGTATCACCAGTAGTACATTTACCGTTAATTACCATCATTTTTAATCTACAATGTTTGATTGGTTATGGTCATTTCTGTTAATGCATTCAATATACACTGCTCAAAAAAATAAAGGGAACACTTAAACAACACAATGTAACTCCAAGTCAATCACACTTCTGTGAAATCAAACTGTCCACTTAGGAAGCAACACTGATTGACAATAAATTTCACATGCTGTTGTGCAAATGGAATAGACAACTGGTGGAAATTATAGGCAATTAGCAAGACACCCCCAATAAAGGACTGGTTTTGCAGGTGGTGACCACAGACCACTTCTCAGTTCCTATGCTTCCTGGCTGATGTTTTGGTCACTTTTGAATGCTGGCGGTGCTTTCACTCTAGTGGTAGCATGAGACCGAGTCTACAACCCACACAAGTGGCTCAGGTAGTGCAGCTCATCCAGGATGGCACATCAATGCGAGCTGTGGCAAGAAGGTTTGCTGTGTCTGTCAGCGTAGTGTCCAGAGCATGGAGGCGCTACCAGGAGACAGGCCAGTACATCAGGAGACGTGGAGGAGGCCGTAGGAGGGCAACAACCCAGCAGCAGGACTGCTACCTCCGCCTTTGTGCAAGGAGGAGCAGGAGGAGCACTGCCAGAGCCCTGCAAAATGACCTCCAGCAGGCCACAAATGTGCATGTGTCTGCTCAAACGGTCAGAAACAGACTCCATGAGGGTGGTATGAGGGCCCGACGTCCACAGGTGGGGGTTGTGCTTACAGCCCAACACCGTGCAGGACGTTTGGCATTTGCCAGAGAACACCAAGATTGGCAAATTCGCCACTGGCGCCCTGTGCTCTTCACAGATGAAAGCAGGTTCACACTGAGCACATGTGACAGACGTGACAGAGTCTGGAGACGCCGTGGAGAACGTTCTGCTGCCTGCAACATCCTTCAGCATGACCGGTTTGGCGGTGGGTCAGTCATGGTGTGGGGTGGCATTTCTTTGGGGGGCCGCACAGCCCTCCATGTGCTCACCAGAGGTAGCCTGACTGCCATTAGGTACCGAGATGAGATCCTCAGACCCCTTGTGAGACCATATGCTGGTGCGGTTGGCCCTGGGTTCCTCCTAATGCAAGACAATGCTAGACCTCATGTGGTTGGAGTGTGTCAGCAGTTCCTGCAAGAGGAAGGCATTGATGCTATGGACTGGCCCGCCTGTTCCCCAGACCTGAATCCAATTGAGCACATCTGGGACATCATGTCTCGCTCCATCCACCAATGCCACGTTGCACCACAGACTGTCCAGGAGTTGGCGGATGCTTTAGTCCAGGTCTGGGAGGAGATCCCTCAGGAGACCATCCGCCACCTCATCAGGAGCATGCCCAGGCGTTGTAGGGAGGTCATACAGGCACGTGGAGGCCACACACACTACTGAACCTCATTTTGACTTGTTTTAAGGACATTACATCAAAGTTGGATCAGCCTGTAGTGTGGTTTTCCACTTTAATTTTGAGGGTGACTCCAAATCCAGACCTCCATGGGTTGATACATTTGATTTGCATTGATCATTTTTGTGTGATTTTGTTGTCAGCACATTCAACTATGTAAAGAAAAAAGTATTTAATAAGATTATTTCATTCATTCAGATCTAGGATGTGTTATTTTAGTGTTCCCTTTATTTTTTTGAGCAGTGTATTATTATTACAGTCTTACCGTTGTCATTGTCGGAATGGACACGTTGTTTGCAGAGTGCATAGCCTAGGCTACACTTGTGAGAAACAAGTTTTGGTTTATTTCATTCCATTTACGAGTTGTCAATTCTGATTGTCTTAACTCACCATCACTGTGGAGCTTCTCAAAGTAATTTTTTCTTTGCCTCAAACAGCAAGTAAACAAAGTCTGTTTTTACATCCATTGAGAATGACAATAGTTACTCAACATAGCCTATTTGAAAAATCTTTCCAGCTCTCTTCCTTTCGATTAGCCTGCCACTCAGCATGAAAGGGGAAAAAATGTAATGCTCTGATCCGGTGGAAACGTCATAAAATAGGCCTACGTGATTACTTCTTATACCTTGCACAAAATAGCCTACAGCTGTGTCTGTCTGTCCGGAGCTCACTGGCAGGAAACTCTGAGGACCCAGAATATTTTATGTGATTTATAGGATATTTACTTTCACCAGGATATTTTCTACCTGCGGGCTGCAATGTTTTAATTGTTGGCTTTATGTAGACTATTTTTACATATTGGCAATGGCAATAGAAGTTACTTTTAGATTTGTATCATTTTCATTTAGAATTTTGATTAACCACATGACATTGATTTTGAGATATGAAGACATTATTATAAATTAAATTAAACTGTTCCACCAAAATGTGCATATGTAAATCATAACTGGCACAAATATTATTAGAAATGGCAGGATAACTTGGCACTCCAAATGGAAAAGGTTACCGACCGCTGGTGTAGCCTATTACCGGCAACTTCAGGAGCGTAATGGCAGAATCTGGGAGGGCCAGCAGCAGCGGGCAGCGGGAACAGGTTTTTCTTCTTCTGGTTAGGACATATTGATCTCTGGCTCCCTCTTTAGTAATTTGTGTGTCTTCATTTTTAATTGCAGTGCTTAAATATCAGACAAGCTCAGTAGCCTGCATAGTTGATTTTATTCAAACATGGAAAAATACACGTTTTAAAATGTTTACCAATATATTTGTCGAAAGAACAGACGACTCTCGGTCGCCCAATATTTTTTGAAATCGGTGACAACCCTAATTATTATAATCATCCACTTCGTCACATATACGTTTTGGATCAAACATGAAGGACAGTTTTTTTTCCTCAACAAAAAAGCTTGTTGCGAGGTGGGCTCAAACCCATGGTTAAAGTGCGCTATCGATTTCGAGTCAACCGCTTTAGCAGTATGTGCCACATAGAAGCAATGGTAATAATGGTACATTACTTGTTTTTTTCACGATGTACGATAAACGTACGTTGTAAGGACCTCATTTATCTTTTTTACATGAAAGCACATAGATGTGTGTGAAACAGATGAGAAAAAGCGTTAACATTTTGTCTAATGTTAGTACTAGTAGCTAGTAGCCTAGTCAAAGGTGCATCAATGCAATATTGGCACATGACATTGTTACACACGAATGGAACAAAAGTAAACTTTGAATTTATAGGTTTTAAATATCCCTCTGGTGTCCAGGGTTGACCTATTTTAACAAATGCCATTGGTTGGTGGATATAAAGTCTAAGATCTTTTATAGGCTGATGCAGAATTTGTTACAGGAAATAATCACTGTCAGCTGGTGAGGCTAGCATAGGGCTAACGTGTGCCAGGTTATCTGATGGGACCAGCTACAATGTAGCGTTCTATCACGTGCAAGTAAATCAACAATTTTAATTGGCTGATGCGCATTTTGAGACTGAGAAACAGTTTAAAGTTAAATAATAGCAATAACAAAAAGTCCACCTCATAACCATGTCCTCTCGCCACAGGAGAAAATAGAAACAGGAAATGGAGATCACCCATAGTTAAGAGTTGACAGAGAGGTCGAGCAGCTTTGCTTGTTTACTGGTTCCAGTGAGGTTGCGTAGTGTAGCCTACTCTCCCTGTGTGGCCCAGTGCAGACTGATAGCTGCTGATCCATTGTAGTGATACAGAGATACTGGCAGACTGATGGTCACAGTGCTGACTATGACTGACGGACAAGATGCAGAGTTGTCTATTAAGCCTTCTCTACCACACCATCGACTGCCCTGAACTGGAAGAGCAGGATTTTTCAGCGGATTTATTCAGTTTGATTGACTCTATCTCTTAGTGCGGCTTAGTGAGACAATTGCTGTCGGCCTTGATGGCCGAAATGCCCCATCAAGATCTGTCAATTTCTTGGCTCAGGCTCCTATTGCTGGCACGAAATGTTACATAGTGAAATTCTTTCAGCACAGGTCTGAATTGTTTTTGACTGGGAGAGTCACGCAACTGCTGTCATGTCTGTGAGTGTTTGTGACCTTGCAAGGCTCTGTGTGTGCAAGTTGATATACTGTAGGTAGGTCTTCCACCCCTAGATAGGCTTCTCTCATTCACTTGGCCGAACTAAAGATCATTAGAAATGCAGGTGATTATTGTGGATGGCTTACAATAGGTCAATATTCCTAGACAGTCATGCACAGTAAACATTGAGATATCAACCTTGCCTCACACAATCCTACACACACATAATCACAGTGATTCTCTCATCTGCGTCCGTCAGACCAGATTTTGTGTCTTCTGTCTGGTCTGCGAGTTCTGGTAAACTTACATCCTGGTGACCCAGTTCATAACAGCAGTTCATTTCCAAGTTCCACTTCCTTTTTTTCCATTACTGCTGAACTAGCTCTTTTACCCACTAACTAAACTCAGCAAAAAAGGAAACGTCCTCTCACTGTCAACTGCGTTTATTTTCAGCAAACTTAACATGTGTAAATATTTGTATGAACATAAGATTCAACAACTGAGACATAAACTGAACAAGTTCAACATACGTGTGACTAACAGAAATGGAATAATGTGTCCCTGAACAAAGGGGGGTTCAAAATCAAAAGTAACAGTCAGTATCTGGTGTGGCCACCAGCTGCATTAAGTACTGCAGTGTATCTCCTCCTCATGGACTGCACCAGATTTGCCAGTTCTTGCTGTGAGATGTTACCCCACTCTTCCACCAAGGCACCTGCAAGTTCCCGGACATTTCTGGGGGGAATGGCCCTAGCCCTCACCCTCCGATCCAACAGGTCCCAGACGTGCTCAATGGGATTGAGATCCGGGCTCTTCGCTGGCCATGGCAGAACACTGACATTCCTGTCTTGCAGGAAATCACGCACAGAACGAGCAGTATGGCTGGTGGCATTGTCATGCTGGAGGGTCATGTCAGGATGAGCCTGCAGGAAGGGTACCACATGAGGGAGGAGGATGTCTTCCCTGTAACGCACAGCATTGAGATTGCCTGCAATGACAACAAGCTCAGTCCGATGATGCAGTGACACACCGCCCCAGACCGTGACGGACCCTCCACCTCCAAATTGATCCCGCTCCAGAGTACAGGCCTCGGTGTAATGCTCATTCCTTCGACAATAAACGTGAATCCGACCATCACCCCTGGTGAGACAAAACCGCGACTCGTCAGTGAAGAGCACTTTTTGCTAGTCCTGTCTGGTCCAGCGACAGTGGGTTTGTGCCCATAGGCGACGTTGTTGCCAGTGATGTCTTGTGAAGACCTGCCTTACAATAGGCCTGCAACCCCTCAGTCCAGCCTCTCTCAGCCTATTGCGGACAGTCTGAGCACTGATGGAGGGATTGTGCGTTCCTGGTGTAACTCGGGCAGTTGTTGTTGCCATCCTGTACCTGTCCCGCAGGTGTGATGTACTGATCCTGTGCAAGTGTTACACGTGTTTTGCCACTGCGAGGACGATCAGCTGTCCGTCCTGTCTCCCTGTAGCGCTGTCTTAGGCGTTTCACAGTACGGACATTGCAATTTATTGCCCTGGCCACATCTGCAGTCCTCATGCCTCCTTGTAGCATGCCTAAGGCACGTTCACGCAGATGAGCAGGGACTCTTGGCATCTTTCTTTTTGTGTTTTTCAGAGTCAGTAGAAAGGCCTCTTTAGTGGCCTAAGTTTTCATAACTGTGACCTTAATTGCCTACCGTCTGTAAGCTGTTAGTGTCTTAACGACCATTCCACAGGTGCATGTTCATTAATTGGTTATGGTTAATTGAACAAGCACGGGAAACAGTGTTTAAAGCCTTTACAATGAAGATCTGTACAATTATTACAACGTTTCTTTTTTTGCTGAGTTTATATGGTCCACATTTCTCTTCTAAGTCTGTTATTATTATGTGTTCGTTTGGAGGACTCAGGTTGAATTCAGCTTTCACCAGCAGTCTCTTCACTGAAGGTGCAAATATTTTAGGTTTTTATTACACCTTTATGGTTTATGTTATCGACGACATCAATCAAAATGTGTAGCATCGCACCTTGAAGCTCTGCTCCTTTGACAAATGACTACCTAGTCAGACGGGTGTAGTCGCATAGCAGTAGCCCAACCATCTCTGGAGTCTTTTTGCATCTTCCAGCCATCTCCAGTGGTGTGTTTCTGTCATCCTTGAGTGGCAGAGCTGCCAGCCATAGCACACCAGTCACCCGCTTCTCTTCCTCCAGGGAGGCTGTCTGTCTCGCCCGGCCCAGCCCAGAGCCTCTGATCTGGGTGTTCTTTTTAGTAAGCTGGCCTGTGTCACCTCCAGGGTTTTACTAGATAGAGACGTGATGAAGGATGACTATATGAGGTGAGGGAGATTAGGAAATGTAATGAATGAAAGCTGCCAAAACTAGTACAAGAGCCGTCACAAAAAGAAAGAGATGTGTGTAACATTACAATACGTAGCCTATTCATCATTATAAACTGAGTGGTTCGAGCTCTGAATGCTGATTGGCTTACAGCCGTGGTATAACAGACCGTAAACAATTGGTATGACAAAACATTTATTTGTACTGCTCTAATTACGTTGGTAACTAGTTTATAATAGCAATAAGGCACTCCTTGTTGCGTCGTACATAAGAACAGCCCTTAGCCGTGGTATATTGGCCATATACCACACCTCCTCGTGCATTATTGCTTAAGTACGCAACTGTGTCAACGGTTCAAAGCCACAACACTGGTTAAACAGTGTTCGGGCTCACAGAGGAAATAGCACTAATATGGAGTGCCGTTGCGTTGTGCTATTGCAGATTACATTGGAGTTTTGCTCAGTTATCCACTGACTGTTCATATTAGTCAGACTCACTATCCTTCTGTCATTGCTAACATGTTTTTTCTTTCTTTTTCTTCCCTTGCTCTTTATGTCTCCGTCTCTCAGAGAAGGACAGGTTGGTTTCCTCTGTGTCACCTCACGGCTACGGCTCCAGCGACAGCAGCGACAAGCATGTTCACCACAGACCCAGCCATGGCAACCCCCAGTTGCCCACGGCGAATGCGGGGGGCTGGCTGGGGGCGGAGCAGGAAGAGGAGGCCCTGCGCAGGAAGCTCAAGTACTTCTTCATGAGCCCCTGTGACAAGTTCCACGCCAAGGGCCGCAAGCCCTTCAAACTGGGCCTGCAGCTGCTCAAGATTGTCATTGTCACCGTGCAGGTAACTACACACATCGACTCCCCCATGACAGCCGCCATTCTGCTTCATATGTACTTTGAGTGTATGAACAATAAATGTTAAACGCCCTCATGGCAAAGCTCAGGTTTTATGGCGGGACCAACAATCCTGAAGTCCCGAGTGGCGTAGTGGTCTAAGGCACTGCATCGCAGTGCTAGCTGTGCCACTAGAGATCCTGGTTCGAATCCAGGCTCTGTCGTAGCCGGCCGTGACCGGGAGACCCATGGGGCGGTGCACAATTGGCCCAGCGTCGTCCGGGGTAGGGGAGGGAATGGCCGGCAGGGATGTAGCTCAGTTGGTAGAGCATGGCGTTTGCAACGCCAGGGTTGTGGGTTCGATTCCCACGGGGGGCCAGTATGAAAAATATAAAAATAATGTATGCACTCACTAACTGTAAGTCGCTCTGGATAAGAGCGTCTGCTAAATGACGTAAATGTAAATGTAAACTGACAATTTGTTTCATATGGGTTATGTTATAGTTGTAGAACAGTCACTTTCCTTCAATAAAACACCTCTCTGACTCCCTTCCTCCATCAGCTGGTGTTGTTTGGCCTCAGCAACCAGATGGTGGTGACGTTCAAGGAGGAGAACACATTGACCTTTAAGCACATCTTCCTGAAGGACTATGACGAGGGCTCCGACGACACGTTCGCAGTGTACACACAGAGTGATGTCTATGAACACATCTTATATGCCTTAGACCAGGTAACAGTCACTAATGACACCTGGGTCATGTTCATTAGGGCATGCAACGGAAAATGTTTTTAAAAGGAAAATGTTAATGAGAGTTTCAGGAAATCTCTCCGTTTGGTGCCTGATGAACAAGACCCGGCATACAGACTGATATGTAAACATGTCCATGCAGTGCAAAGAAGGACCACATCTCGTCCCCTTCATGATTTCATCCTCAACTTTCAACTAAAAGTCTCCAACTCTTAGGCCCTGTTTGAATATTTAGAATGTATCCTTTCCTGCCTGCATCATTTGAAGTAATCACAGATCTGAGCGAGTTTGATTTCATCCTCAACTTTCAACTAAAAGTCTCCAACGCTTAGGCCCTGTTTGAATATTTAGAATGTATCCTTTCCTGCCTGCATCATTTGAAGTAATCACAGATCTGAGCGAGTTTGATTGGTGAAAGCGGTAGTGTGGAAACGTTCACTAGTTACGTTCACTAATCGTCCACTAATCCGCATAGAGATCAGTGCTTACCTCAAATTATGGAGGAAAGAGGGAGGAGTTATTTTAAAATATTAGAGCAGGGCCTTATTCTCCATCCTTGTACCCTTCCTCCTCCCGCACAGTATTTGGTGCTACCCGAGACCACGGTGGGAAGCTATGCGTATGTCTATGGGGTCGGGGTGAACGGGAGTGCCCTCTCTCTCTGCCAGCAGTACTACAAGAAGGGCAGCATCGATCCCGCCAATGATACCTTCAACATTGACCCTCATGTTATCACAGGTACGTGGATATACTTTCTTGCATTATGCCAGCGGTCCCCAACCCTGGTACTAGAGCTAGGGCCCTGGTCAAACGTAGTGCACGCCATAGGGAATAGGGTGCCATTTGGGACTCAACCTAAATGTAGTTCTGTTCCAAAACGCCTGATTTGGCTTATCATTCTTTTGATGATTAGTTGACTGGTTGAAAAAGGTTGAGTTTTGTGCCAGATTTGAACAAAAGCCTGCACGCCTTGTAGCTTTTCAGGGCCAAGTTTGGTGATTGACCATTGCTTTATGCCCTAGCCTTGTCTAGCCTGAAGTTAAGTTATTTAATTTACTGTAACAATGGGGACTACCCAAAGAGTTGCTAAGCTGCTTATTTCCAGTACCACGTCATATTTTCAGTAACAGTTCATCGTAACTGTATAATTTTTTATTGACTAAACATGTGTATAAGTACTGTATTGTTCCCCAATCATGTGAATGTAGCAGAAAGCCCCACTTCCTTATATGAGCTGACACTTGAGACAATACTACTGACTAAAAGGGAAACACATTAAACAATAAAAATCACCTGGTATTGAAATGGCCTGCCCTTTGACTCTTGACATGATCACCAGAACAGAATAACCATAGACATATAATTACTAGAACAGATGTTTATTTCAGTGTAATGGTAATTCTATTTCAATGTAATTCTATTTCTATAAGGAAAAACATTGACAGCCCCTGAAATGACTAACTTCTCTCTCTCTCTGTCCCTCTGTCCTGTTACTAGAATGTGTGGGGGTTAACCCTCTGTCGGTCCCTCAAGCGCCTTTAAGCATTGACTACAAGAACTTTACCCTCAAGTTCCACAAGTAAGGCTTCATTTTTCAAATGTTTTCTGTCTGTCTACAACTAAGATAGATGGGACATCCATCTTTGTAGTATCTGACTGTTGACAAGTGATTGTATCTCTCACACACATCCACAAACTGTTTACACACTACCTATAGCCCTGGGTTATGTTCATTAGACGCCAAACAGAAACTAACAAAAACAGGGAGGGTCTACCTTGACTTGTCCAATAAGAAACATACGTTTTTGTTTTGTGTTTGAAAATGTTTCTCTCTGCTTTCACTTTGACACAACCCTGGTATCCCTCTTCATTTTTTATTTTCACTCTTTATTGTCTAGACTCATAAACGTGACGATACAGTTCCAACTAAAGGCCATCAACATTCAGACCATCATCAACAACGAGATTCCTGACTGTTACACGTTCTTCATAACGGTGATTCCCTCCCCCACCACTTCCTGCTAATGGTCCTACCCAGTCTGTGACTCATTGTAACCTTTTTAGTGTGTAGTAGTTGCTGTGGAAACCTGTATATTAGAGGTAACCTATAACCTGTTTCTTATATTATTCCTTGAAGAGTCCACCACTGTTTTTTCTATGTTTAATATTACAGCAAGTGCTAGTACCTGTATCAAAGTCTGATCTGTTGTTTTTTCCATCTGTTTCTACAGATAGTCCTGGACAACAAGGCTCACAGTGGTAAAGTGAGGATCAGTCTGGAAAACCAGGCTTTTATAAAGGAGTGTAAAGACCCCAGTGTGTCTGGCCATGGTGAGATAGAGACGTTTTTTTTTATTAAACATTTATTTCACCAGAGTAATATTAATTAGAAACCAAACGGGAGAAAATGGACTGAAATGTAGGGACTACCTGAACGTCTTCCGTTGGCAAAATATTTTTCTACGGTGTGCCCTAATTATTATGACCCAAGAGAATCTCTTGAGGGTGAAAACCAGTTTTTTTCGAGAGAGACCTGGTAAGAGAGTCAAAAATAAATAAATAAAAATCAGCGTGTGCAAAGGTCAATACAAAACTATTGACCAAACAGAAATTACACACATATTGACCAAACAGAAGTTAACCGGTACAGCTTGTACCACAAGACAAAGACTATGTAAACACTAAGCAATTTCCCCTATCGCCATCTTCATTTGACCTCCTAAGACATTTCTAAACGTCGCGTAAGAATTTTCCCTTAGTCATGCATTGATGTCAATGTGAAATGTTGACTTAAGTGGAAGTAAGTATTCGCCCCTATGCTTCTACTTGATTAAAGCCACTGAATTCTCTCTCTTTCCTTCCCTCCCTTCCTCTCAGCGGAGAACTACACGCGGCTAACGTTTGACGTGGTGGTGGCGATCGTTTGTATGCTGTCCCTGGTGCTGTGTGGCCGCTCCATACTCCGAGGCATCATACTACAGGCCGTAAGTTACTGGGAGGTAGAGGGTAGGAAGAGACAAAGTGGTTAGAAGGAGGAACATCCAATCTGGTGGTCCTCTTTTGCTCAGTTTGTATAGCATGGCTCTTGCAACGCCAGGATAGAAGGTTCGATTCCCGGGACCACCCATACGTAAAATGTATGCAGGCATGACTGTAAGTCACTTTGGATAAAAGCGTCTGCTAAATGGTATATATTATCTGAGAACATACTGTAGATACATTTGTTTGCTTGTTATAGGGTTGGGGAGTGGGGTGGAAGAAATATTATAAAAAAATTGTTGTTGTTGATGGGAGTGGATTGGCATTCTTTGAAGTGATTCCACTTTTGGAGTAATGTTCTGCAACACGAAAACCGAGAATGTGTGAATACTGGTCTTTCCAGTAGGGCCACCCAACTCCTCTCTGTCTCTGGGTAACAGGAGTTTGTCGAGTTCTTCAAGACTAACCTGGGCCGGAATGTAAGCTGGGATGAAAGGATGGAATTCATCAATGGCTGGTACATCCTGCTCATCATCAGTGACGTCCTCACCATCATCGGCAGCTTCATCAAGATCAGCCATCGAGTCCAAGGTCAGTCCCCCTCTAGGGGACCTTTTTCTGTACTGCTCAGAGTAGAATAGAATAGCTTTATTTTTCCCAGAGAAAAATGCTAAAGAATTATTTGAAATCGCCAGCCAAAAAATCTTCTCAGTTTGGGTAATGACAAAGACAGTTGTGCTAAGCTCATGAGGCATTTATGAGTTGTATATCTCCCTACAGAATTTTTCGTCGTATGACGAGTGTGGCATCCTGTTGGGGACCTCCACCTTGTTGGTGTGGGTTGGAGTCATTCGCTACCTCAGCTTCTTCCAGAAGTACAATGTAAGTTGCCTACAGTATACATACACACACACACACACACACTAACGATGACAGGGATTCACCCACAGTCCTGGCTCTCTCCCTCTTAGATCCTGATCGTGACCTTGCGAGCTGCGTTCCCCAACGTGATCCGGTTCTCCTGCTGTGTAGCTGTGATCTACCTGGGCTACTGCTTCTGTGGCTGGATCGTGCTGGGGCCCTATCACGTCAAGGTACAGACTGCCACCATTTTGAAGCACAGACAGAAATGCTAACAGAAGAAGATCTAGGCCAATAGCAGAGTGGGCCGGCAAATTGATTGAAAAGGAGAAAGTGAATCTGGAGGGGGACACCCCATATGGTTCAGTGATGATTGCACAATTGTGCATTGTGGGATTTTACACAATAATGATGTACTGTGATAATAATATGTGATTTGTGTATTATTATAATTCAATATTTACTGGCCCTTATGGATGTAATTTTATTTTTTATGTTTGTGTGTGTACTGAATCCTCAATAATTTTGAACCAATTCACTGTTTATATCATACAGTGAGAAAGGTCATGTTAAGTCATATGGTTGTCTGTGTAATTTAGGTCTCTCTCCTTATCGTATTCAATTCATTAAGCTGTATTGCTATGAAATACATGAGACGTAACTGTTTCCCTATCTCTCTCCCCCTCTCTCTCCCTCCGTCAGTTCCGCTCTCTCTCCATGGTGTCGGAGTGCCTGTTCTCGCTGATCAACGGCGATGACATGTTTGTGACCTTCTCGGAGATGCAGGAGAGCAGCATGCTGGTGTGGGTGTTCAGCCAGGTCTACCTCTACACCTTCATCTCCCTCTTCATCTACATGGTGCTCTCGCTCTTCATCGCCCTCATCACCGGCGCCTACGAAACCATCAAGGTAACAACAAAGGGCAACATTTTCCTCAGGCAAAAGAGCACAGATCTGTGTAAAAACAAAAATAGTAAAACTCATAATCTGCTGTGTGATTTAATTAGAAAATGTTCTTCAACGATGTACGTTTATAGAGACCAAGGTACAGCCAAGAGTCATGAGACTTTAAAGCCCTTTATCTAAATATTATCTATGAAGGAAGTTAGAGGTCATTTCTCAAGCCATTGCTAACTAGCGTTACGGAAGTGACTGGAAGACTATAATATCTACTAGCATGCTTGCAGTTACCCTGAACTTCCAGTCATTGCTCTAACGCTAGTTAGCAATTGCGCTAAGTCTAGTTAGCAACTTCCTTCAAACTGCACACCGAGACATAAAAATAGTATCCACGAGTTCATCTGACTCTGGGGAAGTAGATAAAGGACTTAATTGCCAACATCCCGAAGTATCCCTTTAAACGGACTCTAATCCAAATGAATGTAAAAGATAAGCACTGTATAATTTCTTATTTGGTGCTTGTCTTTTACATTCATTTGGAGTTGAGGCGTATAGCTGGGTTTACACAATAACTTCTGTGGGATGTGGATTCATATTTAGAGTTGCATTCCTCATAAAGAACAGTCAATGTTCACTGCTCATAGCGGTACAAACAGAAGCTAATTACAAACAACAACACCTAGTGAAAGCCAACCGATCATGATACACACAGTGGTTGCGTCCCAAATGGCTCCCTATTCACTATATAGTGCACTACTGCCCTGGTCAAAAGTAGTGCACTTCATAGGGAATAGGGTGCCATTTGAGATGCAGAGAGTGAGTAACCTAAACATGGATGCCTGTTTCCTCTCCTGTCCCTCCAGCACCAAACCCAGGAGCCCTACCACATTACGGACCTGCACGCCTTCATCGCAGAGTGCACTGACACGCCCAGCTCGGGGAAGTTCCAGGGCCTTGAGACCTCGCCCTGCTCCTTCTTCTGCTGCTGTGACAGGTGGGTCAGAGGGCACAGGTCAAGACTGAAGTTAGCGGTCAAGGCCGGGTTCAGAAACCACCCTCCAGCGCCTAACCTCTTCAGTGTTTGCAGATCTGAAGGAGTCAGATGGGTGTAAGATGATGGTGATGGCTCCACCTAGCCTTGATGGGGATGGATTTGAGTCTGTAGAAATGAACAGCAGTAGATGCCACTTGAATAACCAGACAATAACAGATGCATTCACTGTTATCCTTTCTATCATGGTTGAGAGACTGTGTATGTGTATGTGCTATCTACATGTGTATGTGCTATCGTGTAAACAATGTTTGTTTCTTCCCTCAGAACGACAACATACGAGGATGTCCTTTTGGTGAACTGACTGGGCTGGGGTGTCTGGACCTACAGCGCTTTCTGCTGGCCGGAGCGCCACACTGCATCCAGATTTTCATTGTCGTTACCATCAAATCTGGGTCAGACATGAGCACGTACTTGAATGAGGAACCTCAGTTCAACCATGTACAGACAGAGGACTATGAGCTGAAAGCCTAGTCTTTTTTGAGTGGATTCATTGAAGAGACCGCCTGCGTTTTGTGAATGTTGTAGGGATGTTGCCTGGATGTTGCACAGTAACATACAACTCAACACAGCATTCCCCACACAGAAAGAGAACAGTATTTTGCCAAAATCTGGATATACGCACACAGTGCTAGCACAGCACTGTCTTCAAAATCCATACTTGCTGAGGGCCATAGTGCAATGTGGACTGTCTTGTTAGCACTAATGCTAACGTGTAGCTGTTTTTAATTGTTTTACATGGGTTTTTAGGTGTTAAGCTGCACAAGAACTGGAACTGGACAAAGCATGTTTTTATTATATATATATATAATGTCAGAAGTTCTGGTTATATATGAAGGGGATGACAATTACATGCATACTTCCTACTAGGCCAGAGACTGCTCTGGGGGAGCACTTCCACTGTCCCTAAGGAGAGAGCATTTAAGCCCAATTCACATGACTCACACAAGAACGTCATTGCCCTGTCATGAGGCGCAAGCCCAGCAAGAACTGCTGAGAGCAAGGCTGGCTTCGTCGCAGCGCTTTGGGTTACCACCGTTGCACTCAGAGTTCAAGTAAGTGGAACTTAAACCCTGCACTGCGCCTGGACCCAATGGCTCACTCAGTGGCCTTTAATCTTTGCTCAGATGTACATATACTGCCCAATAGGCTGTGTTTAGACAGGCAGCCCAATTCTGATATTTATTCCACTAATTGGTCTTTAATCACACTTTTTCAGAGCTGATCTGATTGGTAAAAAATACCAATTAGTGAAAATAAGATCAGAATTGATCTGCCTGCCACACCCAGGTACTGGTGCTGGTCTCCAGGAACAGTATCCATAGAATTGTTCTATAGTTTGTTGGACACAGAAAGAGATGCAGTGCATCATCTCAAGCACACCTACAGTACCAGACGTTATAGTAGGTGTTAATCCGAAGACACAGCACACAGGGTAAATGTCAGGACTATTGTTGATTTGTACGTGTTAAGTTGTCCTGTTCACGATGCACAAATGATGCTTTTTATCGCTACATGCTGAACACCGCTTCATCAGAGTTCATTTGAAAGGGGACCAGCAGTGAAGTAGTCAAATCCTCTCTGAATCTCAGAAATCCACTAACGCACTACCCATCATGGCACAACATTCCGGTCGCAATGGAAATGTGAATTTCCAATTTTGCCTGACCTAAATGTAACTTCCTTAAATGAGGAAACTAATGATGGGAAAATGGAGAGTTCATCTATTTTTTGTGAATTTTAAAAGGCCTAAGCTCCAGCCATGGACAATATGGATGGAGAAGTGCAGATATTTGCGAGCACTGCAGTAATGCCTGTGATGTTGACCCAGAAGAATGCTCTTACATATGTTTTGTTCCCATTCTGTTTTATGTCTCATAATGATGTCTAGTTTAAAACAAACGATTGCTTTGTCCTAGTGAAAGTTTAAATTATTTAGTTTTTTTTTAATGTTGGATTGTTTCTGTATCTAGAGAAAAACGCACAAGGGGAGTGTGGTCTTCAAGTTCAGGCTCCAGAAAGTGGTCATGCATTGAGCTTTGTACTCCAATCGATATTGAAGGAAAAAAACTAAATGTTTTTAATATGTTATAGGCCTGCTTCCATTTCGGTCCCTAGCTCCTTCTAAACGTGAACATTTTAGCGTTGATAAATTCCAAAGAACCTCACAATGTGTAGGCAAAGTTGTATGGGAATGGCGCCACCTAGCCTCCCAAATAGGCTAAAAGCAGAGCTTTCACCATATAACTTTCACTTACCCAGTTCTTTAAGATCTGAGAACACCAAAGGGCTGGAGGCTACGAGAAGTGGTTAGGGGCCGAAATGGTACTGGTCCATAGCCTGTCTGTCGGTTAGTGAAGAGTCATGTAGCTCTTATTTTAATGGTCATATAGTACATTTAAATTAAATGTATGTTCTTAACTAAGCAGTACACACATAGGATTTGTTTTTGGCCTTGCGTTTGTATATTGTAGTATTAGACACTTAGATGTCCTGTTCGAGCAGTCTGTAGACATGTATACAGTTCATTGTGTAAACTTTTCTATGTTGATCTTACTTGAACATTGTTTTGAGTATGTTGGATCTCTGTGCCAGACTCAGTATGATGCCAAACCACTGATGATTAAATGCCTGTCTGTTTTGTTCATGTTTGAGTTAGTGCCTTGCAAAAGTATTCGTCCCCCTTGGTGTTTTTCCTATTTTGTTGCATTACAACCTGTAATTTAAATGGATTTTATTTGGATTTCATGGACATATACAAAATAGTCCAAGTTGGTGAAGTGAAATTTAAAAAATAAAAAGCGGTGGTGCATATGTATTCTCTCCCTTTGCTATGAAGCCCCTAAATAAGATCTGGTGCAACCTATTACCTTCAGAAGACACATAATTAGTTAAATAAAGTCCACCTGTGTGCAATCTAAGTGTCACATGATCTGTCACATGATCTCAGTATATATACACCTGTTCTGAAAGGCCCCAGTCTGCAACACCACCAAGCAAGCGGCACCATGAAGACCAAGGAGCTCTCCAAACAGGTCAGGGACAAAGTTGTGGAGAAGTACAGATCAGGGTTGGGTTATAAAAAAATATCAGAAACTATGAACATCCCACGAAGCACCCTTAAATCCATTATTAAAAAATGGAAAGAATATGGCACCACAACAAGAGAGGGCCGCCCACCAAAACTCACAGACCAGGCAAGGAGGGCATTAATCAGAGAGGCAACAAAGAGACCAAAGATAACCCTGAAGGAGCTGCAAAGCACCACAGCGGAGATTGGAGTATCTGTCCATAGGACCACTTTAAGCCGTACACTTACGTGCATTTTAATGAGGGAAATAAGTATTTGACTCCTTTGCAAAACATGACTTAGTACTTGGTGGCAAAACCTGTGTTGGCAATCACAGAGGTCAGACGTTTCTTGTAGTTGGCCACCAGGTTTGCACACATCTCAGGAGGGATTTTGTCCCACTCCTCTTTGCAGATCTTCTCCAAGTCATTAAGGTTTCGAGGCTGACGTTTGGCAACTCGAACCTTCAGCTCCCACCACAGATTTTCTATGGGATTAAGGTCTGGAGACTGACTAGGCCACTCCAGGACCTTAATGTGCTTCTTCTTGAGCCACTCCTTTGTTGCCTTGGCCGTGTGTTTTGGGTCATTGTCATGCTGGAATACCCATCCACAACCCATTTTCAATGCCCTGGCTGAGGGAAGGAGGTTCTCACCCAAGATTTGACGGTACATGGCCCTGTCCATCGTCCCTTTGATGTGGTGTTGTCCGACCCCTTAGCAGAAAAACACCCCCAAAGCATAATGTTTCCACCTCCATGTTTGACGGTGGGGATGGTGTTCTTGGGTTCATAGGCATAATTCCTCCTCCTCCAAACACGGCGAGTTGAGTTAATGCCAAAGAGCTCCATTTTGGTCTAATCTGACCACAACACTTTCACCCAGTTCTCCTCTGAATCATTCAGATGTTCACTGGCAAACTTCAGACGGGCATGTATATGTGCTTTCTTGAGCAGGGGGACCTTGCGGGCGTTGCAGGATTTCAGTCCTTCACGGCGTAGTGTGTTACCAATTGTTTTCTTGGTGACTATGGTCCCAGCTGCCTTGAGATCATTGACAAGATCCTCCCGTGTAGTTCTGGGCTGATTCCTCACCTTTCTCATGATCATTGCAACTCCACAGGTGAGATCTTGCATGGAGCCCCAGGCCGAGGGAGATTGACAGTTATTTTGCGTATAATTGCACCAACTGTTGTCACCTTCTCACCAAGCTGCTTGGCGATGGTCTTGTAGTCCACTCCAGCCTTGTGTAGGTCTACAATCATGTCCCTGACATCATTGGAGAGCTCTTTGGTCTTGGCCATGGTGGAGAGTTTGGAATCTGATTGATTGATTTCTTCTGTGGACAGGTGTCTTTATACAGGTAACAAACTGAGATTAGGAGCACTCCCTTTAAGAGTGTGCTCCTAATCTCAGCTCGTTACCTGTATAAAAGACACCTGGGAGCCAGAAATCTTTCTGATTGAGAGAGGGTTAAATACTTATTTCCCTCATTAAAATGCAAATCAATTTATAACATTTTTGACATGCGATGTGTGCAAACCTGGTGGCCAACTACAAGAAACGTCTGACCTCTGTGATTGCCAACACAGGTTTTGCCACCAAGTACTAAGTCATGTTTTGCAAAGGAGTCAAATACTTATTTCCCTCATTAAAATGCAAATCAATTTAAAACATTTTTGACATGCGTTTTTTCTGGATTTTTTTGTTGTTATTCTGTCTCTCACTGTTCAAATGAACCTACCATTAAAATTATAGACTGATCATTTCTTTGTCAGTGGGTAAACGTACAAAATCAGCAGGGGATCAAATACTTTTTTCCCTCACTGTACCCCAAGAGACTTGCAGCTGTAATTGCTGCAAAAGGTGGCTCTACAAAGTATTGACTTTGGGGGGGTGCATAGTTATGCATGCGCAAGTTTTCAGTTTTTTTGTCTTATTTCTTGTTTGTTTCACAAAAAAAAATATTTTGCATCTTCAAAGTGGTAGGCGTGTTGTGTAAAACAAATGATACAAACCCCCCAAAAAATCAATTTTCATTCCAGGTTGTAATGCAACAAAATAGGAAAAATACCAAGGGTGGTGAATACTTTCGCAAGCCACTGTATATATTATTTGCATGAAGCTCAACTCTAGGCCCACTAACTGTAAGTCGCTCTGGATAAGAGCGTCTGCTAAATGACTAAAATGTAAATGTAAATGTAGTCAAGTTTACAGTATAAAGCATGTGAAGGAAAATCATGAGTTTACCTCAGGATGTAATTACCTGAAGTTACCAGAAGGGGGAATAATGGCTTTTGCATCCTTCATGTCTGACCCCTCAGACTCCGACAATAAGATCCTACAGGAGGAGGATAGACAACCTTACACCCAACATCTGTTTATTAGACAGAGACAATAGGGATA